GGATGTTTCCAAGATTTCCACACGAAGCCAACTTCCGTCAGACGACGCAGGTGGGAAGAGAGACAACTTATAAAGCTGGTGACCAAAAATCATGTAAGTAGAAAAAGAATTTATAACTTAAAATTAGATTTTAAAAAGCCAGCCGCACGTGTGGACTGCGCGACGACATATGGCGTCATTCGTCCCCTTGACTTTATTTTCATGACGCCATATGGTGTCGTTCGGCTCTTAAAGGTTAATTTTAAGTGCTTGTGTAAAAAAAAAAATCAAACTGAATTGTTCTGAATTGTCTGTTTGTATCATGGAAATTAGCTGAATTATTGTAATAGCATTAACATGGGAATCGGCTAGTAATAAACAATGATTCTATGAGTAAAATCGACAGACTGAAGTACACATAATTAAAATCACAAAAGACATTAACAAGCACTGGGTACAATTGACATTCCACATTTTTCTGCAACTATTTTGCTATTATATACATATTCTTTTTTGTTACTAGAACCACTCACAGTTGCCCAAAGGCAACACCCTGGCCTGTTCTCACTTTCCATGCATACCTCCAAGATCCCTCAGATCTAGTTACTGCTCAAGGTCAGCAGCAATTTTCCCCAGCAATACTATCTTAATCAGATTCAACTGAATTCTTTCTGTGGCTACACCTCGTGGCCTTCAGGACAGAATTTAAGCAAATATTGCACAAGGAAGAGGTCGGAGGTATGTATTACATCAGTTTGAAATATGTTCACTACTTATGGGACACTATCCAACTCACCTTGAATAATATGTATAATTTCAGTGTGTTAAGAATAAAAGGCTCCAGTACCAAGATTTCACTATTTCATGAAGTTGTAGGGTGCATAAAGTATTAAAAAATAAAGTGAAATACTTTTTTTGCAATAATAATTTAGAATTATTCATATTTTAGTATTCAGCCTAATTGTCATTTTGAATTAAAAATTAACCATATTTCAAATTTTCCACATTAAGAAACAAAACTATGTTCTCAAATGGTTGCAGACACAAATTAAATGGTGATCTGAATTATCCTGCAGACAATAAATGGGGTTTTCGTATTAAGTGCACTAACATGCTGACATATTTGTGGTTGAAAATAATTAAAACTAAAAGAATCTCACCTTGATCTTTAAGCTTTTGAGAAATAATAATGCCATTCTCTGGAAAACGAGCTATTGCGGTACCTGAGCCATAATACATATCATGGTCGCCTAATGTAAAGTCACCTTCAAATACCCTGTCTCCAAGGGCAATGCCCCAAGATGAAAGCAAGTCATTTAAAGCTGGAACGTTTGCACCACCAGTATCTGGCATCCACCACTGTCTGAGGAATAATAAAAGAAATGCTGTTAATGCAAGTTTAAACACTTTCTCTCTATATTTAATTTACTGTCACTGTAACTACGTAGTTTCAAGTCTCTAAATATTCCGTGAATTTCACCCCGTTAACTGCTGCTAATTTAATTTAAGCCTGATACACTGATTTCAATAAATATAATAGGCCTCTGTTTATAGCACTATGATTTTCTAGTATTCTAATTCTTATTCTAGCATCTTCTGTGGAATAACATGTTAGTCTACTACTGTAACAGTCCCGTGCCTAAACACAATGCTATGAAAACATGTGCAGGAACAGAGGTAAAGCTCTAGACAATCTCAACCTAGGCACTGAACACAGGGAAGTGATAAGCTTCATACTCAGGCCACATCCAGGTGACCTTAACTTGAACTTGTAAAACACCCGAATTATCTTCACATGTAAATGTCAACTAGGCTGATATACCTTGTGTTCTCATCATAAAACTTGACTTTTTTCATGACTGTAACATTGTACCAATCAGCAAACACAAGAAGTGAGAGCCCATTGTCAACATCTCTCTTCAGTTTGGCCACTTCCTCAGGGAAGTACTCTTCCTCAGCATCAACCAACAGTACTGTTCCATACTGAGATGCATCAAAACAGGTGAATGGAGATCCCAGCACTTCAAGATAGTAGCCACTGTTACGCAGATGCTGGTACATGTCCTGCAATACATCACTAACATTCATATTCATATCAAAGGATAATGTGCAAATCTGGCTGTACACTTCATTTATTTGTTTGTGTATGTATATACCTATCCAAAATTGTCTAAAACAAGAAAATGCTTTATTGCCACCGCTTTCCGATTTTGCTTTAGAATATGCCATTAGGGAGGTCATGAAAAACCAGTTGGGGCTGAAATTAATGGACCACATCAGCTGCTGGTCTATAGTGATGATATGAATTTATTGTGAGATAACATAGATATCATAATGAAAAATGCAGAAACTTTAACTGATGCTAGTAAAGAGGTTGGTCCCGAAGTAAACGCAGACAAAACTGAATATATGTTGTTGTTAGGAAGACCAAGAAGTAGGTGGGTGGAAAATACAGGATGGGGCACAGAAACTTCCTTTATTTGAAAAAAAATTATTGCTGATAGACAAAATTTATGTTTAGCTAATGAAAGAATATACTTTAAAGTTTTAAATCATGTAGTTTTAAACAAAATATCTTGAAGGTGGTGGCCACCGTTCTCTATGCACTGATGCAACCGTTTTCTGAAGTTCCCCTCTGCACGTTCCAACATGTGCACCGGAAACTGGGCTACTTCCTGCCGAATAATATTCTTCAGGTGAAGCAGGTTTGTGGGGTGATGTTTAAAAACCTCTGCCTTGAGGTATCCCCATAATAAAAAATCACAGGGCATTGTGCGCTGCCCATGGGATGTCACCTCGAAGCGAGATGAGCCGTCCGGGGAACGTTGCCCTCAAAACTATCATCGAAGCTTGGGCTGTGTGGGCCGTGGCCCCATCCTGTTAGAACCAGACATTTCCTAGATGCATTTCTTCAAGAGCTGGTTCAAAAAATATCTCAAAATCGACTGTCGAACTGCCTCTTCATTTTCTGGTGTTGTAACGGTCCGTTGTCGTCCTGATGATTTTTTCACCACACTCCCGGTTGTCCTAAAGTTCTCTACCCACATAACAATTGATTTCTGGTCGGGAACTGGACCTCTGGGCTTAATTCCGAAGTGAGTACGGAACACATGCTGCACCGCCACACAGGAATGGTTGTTCAAAAAATATGCTTTGACAGCAAACGCACGCTGCTCATTCGTTCACCTCACGTTTCTTACTGAGGGGTATTAGACAGAAACCTCCGCGACTGCTGCGTTCACCAAGCCTATCCCCACTTTTCTGTGACCTCCCTTCCCTTCACAAAACGGAAGTTTCTGCGCCCCACCCTATATTAAAATGGATCTTACAGAAACAGGAAAGGGTGGTATGGATTGGATTGATGTGGCTTAAGATAGAAACCACTGGAGGACTCTTGTGAACATGGGAATGAACCTTCAGGTTCCATAAAATGTTGGGAAATTCCTGAGCAGCTGCACAACTAGCGGCTCCTCAAAAAGGGCTCAGCTCCATGAAGTTAGTTACTTATGTACATATCACACATTCTTAAAGTACTTCAGATGGAAGTGAGATGTATGTTTATGCCCAGAAAAATGAAAAATCCTGGAAAGGTGGCATGGTTCTGAATTCCAGAAGTCTTCTGGACACTGTTCAAAACTTCACATCTTGTAAATGGCACAAAACAGAAAAGAATAATTTTTCTTTTCAGAAGTTTTATTTGTGTGTGTGTGGGGTTAAATTGTTGAATTAGATAGACAGTACTTAGAAATATGTATTGTATGAACTTTGCTTTTAAACTATAGAGCAGCGCAGAACAGAGACAAAAATGTGGAGTTCTGTTTACCTGCAACATCACCTACAGAGTACTGCAAAAACATATTCATAAGAAAGTTGCCTTCTATTATGAAATACAAATTAAACGAAAAACTAGAATGATTATTTTTATGCCCACTTAGCTTACTCTTTGCCCAATAATGGAGGCAGTATGTTCCTGTGAAACATCCTTAAACTTCTACCCCGCTGCATGGCATCACATCCCAGAGGATAATACCCTTCATACTGTGGATTGCATTGAATATTCAAGTACATGTTTTGCATCCTTTGTGATTAACACTGTTTTCATTTAACATATGTGGTTTTCATTTGGGTCATGTTATTTTCTGTTGAGTTCAAGTATATGATGTTATAATTAGAGATTTCTTTAATTTTACCTTGAAATTTGTATGAATATGATCTCCATTCCAATCCAAAGGATCATTCTTCATACGTAGATTGTCCCGAGGAAAGTAGCCTGGTGGATACCGGAGATTGTGATACTGATCCCACAAAATGCGTTTGCTGTTAAGGCAATGTTAAATATTTAATTATATCAAACAAGTTAAAGCTTTCACAGTCTTCACAGTTTCCTTGCAAATGCATGTCCAATGAACAAAGATTGAATTAACCATGAAACTTGAATTTCAGAATTTTCAGGCTGCAGAAACTTCAGCCTGAAATAACCATTTTAACCTATTGAATTATGTTGATTTTAAATGTGCTGATATAATAATTAATATTATTGTCTTTGAAATAATTATATGTTATGACAACTAACAATAATTGCAGATAGTGAAGAATTTATGAAGTTTTTGAGGCTCCATATACACTTCACTCCCAAAGAGAACAACAAACTGAATACATTATGTGTACATACTGCCTAGGAGGTGTAGGGATGATCTTGGCCTTGATTGCAAGTTTCACGGACGACTGTCGTGGCTCTGTTTCGCCATCTTCTGGTGGAGATTCTATGGTAAGTGCAATATGTCCCTGTGCAATGCCTTCCCAGTTGGAGGCAGTTTGAGCAGCAGCTATGCTTACTGCCATCCATCCTGACCAGGGCCACAGCAGTTCAGAGAAAGTTAATGCAATATCCAAGTATTGCCCAAACTGCGGAGTGTAGGGGTGCCACTGTGGCTTGCCTATAACACGACCTGACACTCCCTGACCATTCAAAATGGTTACATTTACAATGGTGGGCACTGCACCATAGTATAGTGACTGAGTGCAGTATGGCCACATGTACTGACATTCAGTAAGATCCACATAACTGCAACAAAGAATAAAACTCAATGTATATTTCTGTTTGGGTTGTCATCTAATGCATATATTTAACTTTTATAGTGTAAGACCAATTACATAAATGGCGCTGAATTTCATTATATAAAGGTAAAGTTACCCTGCCCTTATGTAATTAAGCACCATGTCATAAAGATGAATGGGGTATCAGACATTTCATTTCATTTCTTTATTGCATTTAAATATCGATCATTGGTACAAGACCACAAGATATAGAACTTGTCACAGAATATACTATGTGTATCATAAGCAATAGCAAAACAACATACATTTCATAATATACATATACATAGATGCAACAAGCCATCATAAATTAAATGTTGTCAGTTATGTATACAATATCAGTAATTAAAATAAAACTACAAGAACATAAAACCAAATACATAATTATATAATAAAACAATATATCAATTAAAAATCTCAATCTATGGTTTAAAACAATCTTTTTGTACTTGTTGCTACTAAAACTCTCTTTTCCTTACTTCAGTCAAGAACTTCGCAACAAGTACATCGTTTTCATGAGTTCCACACTACTCCTCCTCAGTCACAATCATTCAATCATATCCCTAATTATTTGCTCTGCAGGTAATTGCACAGACAATGTAAACAACTTTCCATATAACTACAGTCTTTCTTGAACTCTGGTACCAGATCAAGGATAGTGGTTAGCTTCAGGTATCCAGTACCCATTGGACAGGAAGCCAGATGGACCTCACAGCTGGTCTGGATGCAGTGGTGAAGAGAAGATTCTCTTCCCCTTGCCTGGAATTGAACCCTGATTCTCCAGTAGTTCATCCCACAGCTTAGTCACAACACTGGTAATGCTATTCCAGCACTCAAATCACACAGTGTACCACCATCAATCCTCACATTCCACATACCTGCCATTCTGGACTGTTAACCACAAGCTTCCTAGTCATAAAGGTGAAGAACTGTGTACAGTATTGGTAAGAAATGTAAATATTTAATTTGCAAACAGTTTAGTTTAAAAGATGATAACATTTATTGAGATAAAATGCTAGTTTATCCCTTTAAAGATGGAATTTCTTCCAAATATTACAAACATTCAGTTTGTAACTCACACTGAACATAATACGCTTCTGCTACAAAGATCAACTGGTTAATGTATGACACAAACTCCGTCCTAAGTTCAACAATTTATTGTAGTTCTTTTGTCTTCTTTTCTTCTACACTACATGTTTCGGCCATAAATGACCATCATCAGGGATTAATACGTATTAAAGATAAGCGGCGGCACGCACACAGGGAGCTTGCACAGAATAATACCTGAATGGTGCTGAAAGCAAGAAGTAGCCACTGCAGCACTGTAGACCTAGAGCAGGTATCCCTATGAATTTTAAATTAAAAAAGAAAAAAAATTAAAAATTTTATATTTAAATTGAAGATTTTAAAAATACCAAAATTCAAAAATCAAATTGACGTATGTAAATTAACAAAGATTCTATACATATCTGACAAATATCAGCAAGGGGATTCTGATATATCGGGACCTATTAACAACGGAGAAATGAACAATTAAGAAAGCTGGTGTTTTTAAATTTTAAACTACATGCAGTGTAACAGCTACGTGAGAGTGTACACCTGATGATGGCCATTTACGGCCGAAACATGTAGTGTAGAAGAAAAGAAGACAAAAGAACTACAATAAATTGTTGCACTTAGGANATTATTACATTTAGGACGGAGTTTGTGTCATACATTGTGTAAAGTGTAACAGGATGCTTAAATATAATATTATCAACTGGTTAATGCTGTTTAGGGAAAGAAGTTAGAACCAAACAAAACCACAAATATATTCCGTAAGCAGAATGCAAAATTTCGGGGTGTTAAGACAGGTGATACATACAGAGAGTTTAAAGAGCTTTAAAGAGTTAATGAACTGTCATTACAACACTGCACATTCCTGATACTCTCACAAATATTTTACTACTTCAGTTGGGAGACAGTGAACTATTGTTAACCACTCTTGGCTCTGTCATTCATCCAAAAGTCAAGGTGTCCTTACCTTGGACTCAGGCTGGCTTGAGGTTTGTAGCTGTTCAGAATCTGATATGCTTTGAGCAGATCAAGCTTGCCATGGCCCTGCTCAAACATGTTGACACCTGGCAGTCTCCGAGCAGAAGCCATGAGAGCCTGCTTCATACTGGCTGGATTGATAGCATTACCACGATGCAACACACCACTATGTTCCAATAGACACCAAAATCAGCAGATACTAATGACACCTGAGACTATATTTCTGTACTCATTAGCTATTGCCAATTATTTGTATTACCACGTGTAAGTCATAGCTTAAAAATATCCTACAAAAATTACTGAAAACCTAAGGTCATCTTAGGGCCAGGATCCTTGGGAGTGAGGTAAATATGATTTACTAGTACATTCATAAAGCTTACTATAATTTCAACAGAGAAATATTAAAACAAACTTCATCTAAAATTCCTAACTGAAGAACATGAGAAGTGATGTGGTCTTCATGTACAAAACAAACACTAACAGACACATTTTAATTGACATTACCACCATACTCTAAATTTTATTCCCATGTACATTTTGCAATCTTATTTTATATTAATATGCAGCGGCACATTATTCTGAATGATCTCAAATGTAACAAATGGACAGAATCTTCAAAATAAATAATTCTAACCACTAGCTACAGTTTCCACAGATAGCCCTTCCACTGTTCCACTCTTACATACTTCAAACAATGACTTCACTTAATATACTTGTATGTGTTATCAGTAACCAACAACGGAAATTTGTTTGCACCAAGGATCAAGGATGCAGTACCAACTTGAGAGCATAGGTACCTCTTGCACTGCCACCTGATGACACAGTCATAACAATTATAAATGATTATATGTTTTTAGGGAACAATAACTGCATTAAAACAAAGTAAATAACTTGAAGATTATATATACAGATCAAATTAATATCAATTGTAAATCAATTTCAAGAAGAATTACCTAGCTAGCAGAGTCACTGCTCCAGCTACAACAGGTGATGCAACACTTGTGCCAGAGAGCGTTCTACAACTGCCTTTAATGCTTGATCCTCTTACAGCAGAACCATAGGTAACAATGTCTGGCTTCACTCGCCCATATCTGAAGTTATAGAATTTCAAGTTTTGTTAAAAGTTACTACAAACTTAACAAAAGTTACTACTTATCATAGTTTACAACAGGGATACATAATGCCACTACTTGATGCAACACTGCCAAACAGTCTGAACACCATCCAATAATCACTCATGCTATACATCAATTCAGCCATCAAAATGTATATAATTTTGCATTTCTAATGTCTATATGTGGCCGCGCCATAGCTCAAGCGGTTAGTCGCTGGCTTCCCATCGAGGTGGCCCGGGTTTGATCCCGGGTCTGGTCAAGTGGGATATGTGGTGGACAAAGTGGTGGTGGGGCAGGTTTTCTCTGAGTACTTTGGTTTCCCTTGCCAATCTTCATTCCACCAATTGCTCCACAATCACCCTCACCTGTCATCTGGGGCTGGTACAATAGGCCAGACGTGGCTGCAGTGCAAGGGACTTGGTCCTACCCCACTAGCAATAAAAAAAAAGTCTATATGTGATTTAGACTCTGTATACAGTAATGTTAGAGTAATAAAGTAAAAATTTTTATGGGTTGAATGCACAGAACACACAAATAAAACAAGAGCAATTAAAACTTCTGTGAGGGAATCTTCAGCAAAGACCACTTGAAAGATCAGAGGTGAGAGGAGATTAATACAGTGGTTCTAAGGTAAATTGCTTCTGATGATGTAGCTGGCTCAAGACAGAGAGAGGATTTTGCATAGTAAGTGTATCCATGTTACAAACAGCCAATAAGGACCAACTTAATTATGTATGTAAAAGGGAGTCATCATACAACTCTTATTCTGGTTAACATTATTTTTAGCCTGCTTTCCTTCCGTGAGAAAATATGAGTAGTGGGGTCAAGAGATCACCATGATGAGTGTGTATTTTTCTGCCCTCCACCTCAATATTTGAACCAGATGGCCACTTTTCGTGAATGAGTGTTATGCCAGTGAGGCCATTCCAACTGCATACTTCATAATTTCCTACAATCAGCAATAAGAACTTGGGGATTGGAATATACGCCATTTAAACTGTCAAATGTCACAAATAATAATACAAAAAACACATATGTTTAGAACAAGAATAAGTAAGAGGCATATTTAATTCTACCTCTGGACCCTCCAAAGAATTCATGTGAGCATCTGACCTTGGTTTATTTTATTTATTATTCAACCAATTAAAGTGAATACAGCCTATATTTATGGAGAAAAATGCTCCAAATGACAAAAATGTGCTACAGTGTTAATTCATTAGAACATACCCTTGTGGAAGCTCCCATGTAGTCATTCCTCTAGACGAGAATTTAGCTATTTGATCTTCAAAATTTATGCCTCCCACACCAATAACATCCATCTGGTCAGCTGGATTGTTGAGAGTTCTGAAAAGGAAGTAAGTTGAGTATTATATCTTCTAATATAATTATACATTAAATATTTACACAAGCACAGAGCAGTGCTTAATTACTCAGGCTCAAAAAAAAATTGAGTGTAAATTCTGATTGGAAGGAAAAATTACTTACTGTATTTTCTCTTCTTATATAACTATTTTAGTTTCAGTGTCACATAGGCTGGTAATTCTCAATTTATGCTGCCAAATTTCATCTAGTCCATAATATTACCACACAGATGTATTCTAAATTATGTACATAAAATACAATAAGCACCAGAGCCAGGAAATCTACAAAATACCATTTGTATGTGGAAAATGAGAGAAAAGGATAACGTTAAGTGGAACATATTATTTGCCTATTCTGATTTGTGGCACAGAAATATGGACATGGACTAAGAGAAAAGTAATCAGATTATATACAGCAGTCAGCACACAGAATGAAGACAGTGTATAAATAATCACTGGAAAGACCAAAGACTAGGTGGAGGAACCTAGTGAACTAAGATAAACAAAATATAGCATGGAAAAGGGTTGATACAAACACAACAGTTCTTACAGGGTGTATAAGAAGAATAAAGGTGGGTTTGTATTAATACGACCTGACATGACATAAAAGTCATTGGATTACAATAATGCACAAAATGAAGAAATTGACTTTTAGCATTTACAGCGTTAAGAATTCCCCCAAACTGTTTAGCATGTGGGTAAGTGGGACATTTAAAAGTTACAACAATAATTTTTCTACCAAGAAGGTACTTACATTTTATAGATACATAGTATTCTTGACTGAGAGGTGTTACTCACCCATAGAGGGGTCCATCATTACCAATAGCCGACACCATGATCACTTTGTTTGCAGTCAGTTCCCACACTTTGTCAACAAATGGATGATCCATGAAGTCAGGCCCACCAATACTCAGATTGAGAACTCCAATCTTTTTCAAGATAGCATAGTTAAATGCATCAAGAAACCAGGACGTATAAGACACCTGCAACATTTGTCATACCTTATGTTAGCACAATAATAATCATCTACACTTGTCACAGTACAATAAACTTCTTGTTCTTTTTATAGTCTTTTTCTTCTTCCATCTATAATGCAACAAATTAATAATATTAATTCACAATTAATTCATACAATGATCGTTAAATGTAAAAAATGTTATTAAAATTATTCTTGTAAGATTTGAGGCTTTCACGGCGGTGACTATGAAGNATTATTCTTGTTATTCAGCATCAAAGCACCATAACTTTTCGTCCAACTGGCAAAAATTTCAAAGAAAACTTATAATTTTTGTAAAGCAATAAAAAAAGGAAATTTGTGTTGTGCAAATGTTCACCTACCATGCACTTCTCCCAGCCAACAATAGCAGCATTACTCATAATCCTACCTCATGTTGGTGTCCTTACAGTACAAGCAAGTTAAATTTGCATGTTACAGCATCTCAAACTGTTCACCCATCAATCTGCTGTCACTTACGAAGCTCCCATGCAAGAACTGAACCAAATACATGTTGTTCTGACTTTGTACTGGGTTTCTGTAATCTGTCTCATGCACCCGGCAGACTCATATACCTGGCACACTTCATTCCCCATAAGTAACAAGGATTTTACTGTATTTACTGCTAGTTCTACAGACGTGTTTCATCTCTGTACACCATCAATAATGCCCATCAAACAAGACATGATCCTTCATAAGCCTCAATTTGTCCATTCACTCTCACATATTACATACAAACTAACTACAATATTATTACATGAGCTAAAAATTATACATTTAAAACCACAAAAAATATTTAAACCTACACATTGTTTCTTTTAAGATTTAGTTTATTATTCTTATTAATTGCTGTTTTAAAAGTCACAACTTACAGTCAATCAATTAAAACTGTTACCACAACACTGGGAAGGAAATTCAAAAGGAAAACATAATCTGCCTTCCATGGTATAGTTCGGGAGCTGGGACAGTGTGGCCAGCAAAGTGACTGGTTATGCAGTGCACAACTGGGATATGGCTCCCAGCAAGGGTTGGGACCTCCACCACAATGCACAGGGTGGTTCTTGGATTCATTCAGCCTCACATCCAGCGAGTACTGGGGACACTTTTCCCTAGGAGTAAAGAGGCTGGGACATGAAACTAACAATTCATTTCCCTCCCCTGTTCAGGTCTACATCAGGAAGAGTTTCATCTCCATGCATCCTGTACATTTCATGGTATGATGCTTACACAGAGGATACCTACATCTCATCAGGTAATATAATTCTACCTTGTATAGCAATAATATGCAATAAAGAAATGTCAGTCTGTAGGCATTTCTTCTGTCCTCACACACACTTACTTGACAATAAAGAAAATGTTAATTCATATCGGATACTTACACCATGTGGATATGAATGTACCTACATCCACATGATATAAACGCTCAAGAGCTGAATTAACATCAGCAGATAACCTCTGTGAAAGCATAAGATCAGTAAACAAGAAAATCTTTTAACAGTTCATGTTACTTTGTCAAAGAGGCTCCAAACGGTTTACAAACCTTATAGCAATGGTTAAGCAAGAAATCAGTCACAACTTACTGCATCAGTCACAGATTTTAATTATGTAGTGACACATGATAATTTACATCAAGTTTGACCTTGGAGAGAGAAGGAAGAAATATAGGCAATAGATTCAAGTTCATTCCAAAAGTACATGGATCAACCTGTTGAGCTTGTTCTTGATAAGGAGGCAGACTTTTCAGTTACCTGATTATTCGTGAAGACCCTGAAGATATGCAGCTCGGCATCTGGCGCAAACCCGAGACACTCCTGACTTGATGCAATTACTCCAGCTACAAATGTTCCATGACCAAGACCATCATCTAAAGTCTTTTCAGTTGTCCAGTTTGTTCTCTCCTTTATCTTTTTGAAATGTGGATGTGTCTTTGCTAAGCCTGTGTCAAACACTGCAACTTTCACACCAGTTCCTGTAACAACATTCAGTACATAAAATGACTGACAAAATATGAGATAAATTTAAGAGATTTATGGCCTTTACTCATACCTAAAGTCTTGAATGAACCTCACCACCCAACAAAAATTATAATATATCTGAGTTGTTTATGCAACAGAATGCAGTCCACTTTTCTGAACAATAAACCCCTTGATGATGAAATTCTGGATAAATTATTGTAATGAGATTATAAAAAGAAACAAAAACCAAAATTATATCACAATATTAAGTGAAATCCAAAGACATTTCTTTTCTGGCATGGTGCGGTAATGGGAAAAGCTTGCTTTTGAAGCTGGGCCAAAATTTGGCAACAGACTGCAATATAGTACTCGTCTTCAGTTTCAGTGTAGCTGAAGAGCAGAAATTTATAATACATTTTACCGATGTATAAATAAAATCAGGGTAGAATTTTGTTAACAATAATTAATTTCCTTTATCATTATGTATATAGTAGATGAAACAGCCCTGCTATGCAGAAACAGATGTGATGCATTGTGGGCAAACTGTTCCAACAAATATACAGAATAGTACAATATCAATTTTTTGTCATGGTGAATGCCACAGCAAAGAAAGCAATGAAAGAAACTGACATCTTACAAGGGTAAATAACAACATATTTGGTACACCTGGACAAATGTTCCATTTATGTGCAAATTCTGATAAATGGGTGAACAGCAGTGAACACACAAAGCTGAATGACACATTTTTCTTCAAAAGTAGTCGAAGGGTTAACAATCTGAGCCTGTAATGTGTGAAGGACATGATAAATGCCACTTTTGGAGCTCCATAAGTGCATAATGTAATATTTCTCTTTGATGAGCATTTTGTCATGCCATTTCTGGGCCAAATGAATGCATTTATTACTCACTGGTGTCAAACTGTAATCAAGGAACCTGTCTGTCTCCCTCTGTCAATGTTGGAAGTGGGTGACAAACAGCAACACACATGACATACTAGTCATTCAACATATGTGGACTCCACTCAATACACCTTATACTTTGCCATATGTTCAATAAGGATGGAAGGGGGACTGTTTGCAAACCATCATGGAGGCCATCTGCTTCATGTTCTTGCACTGGGTTAATTACATTCACCATGGCAGGGCATCACTGAGTCTTCCTTTAACAGGTTATGACACTCATACAGCATTTCGTAGCAACACACAGAGTTTGACTGCTGTCCTCAAATCTGCACCCATATAATGTGCTTGGTTCTTTCTTGGTCCATAGATTAGCCCCATCTGAGTACTCAACAACCACAAGCCTGCCAACTTACTACATAATTAATGCCACACCCAGGAGGACTTCATCATGCAAACCATTACATGCTACTAACACCATACAAGAAACTTCTGAACTTCTCCAGTACATAAATATCATTACAAGAGTAATTATAAAATGTCATTATTTGACTTTTCTATCACTTTCCAGCTGTGTACTGTGATATATGTACCTCACCACTAAATTGCAAATGCATGAAAGCAGGGCATTTCGGAAAATACTTTGGTCCAAGAGAGCTGAAGTGGAGAAAGAAGTATATCATATAATGAGGGAAACTCATAATTTTTACAGCTCTCTTCACATTTTTATGTTAGCCAAATGAATGCGGTTAGGGTAGGCTGATGGGTAATTGGGGTAAAAATAGGAAACAATAAAATAAACCTTACAGTCTGGTAAGTAGTATTCTTGTGAGTGGGCAGTTACTTGACAAAGGAGATGGGAGGATAATATTAAAATAGAGCTTAGATTGTGAACTGAAAAATTGCATTAAACTGGTTCTGGGTCTTGTCCAATGGCCAACTTATATCACTGGTGCTAAACCTTCAGGTTCTGTCAGGAGAAAGTTCAACAGTTACAACTTTATTCATTCTGGTCTGTCACACTAGTTAATTATTATAAAATGATTTGACAACACTATCCCGTGTGACTCAGTACATATTTATAAAGTGCCTTCTGAAGATGGTCATAACTGACTGAAACATGTAAAGGCACTATAATTATCAGTTACAGTTACAGTGAAACATATTTCATTTTCTTCAGTTCAAAGTTTTCCCCCATTTAATGATTAATTTCAATGATCCCAAATCAGTAACATTAGTATTAGGTTTCCTTCATTTAAGATTTTTCTAAATTCAGCGTTTAAGTCCACTGTTTCCCAAAGAAACATTGAACTGGAATTTCACTGTATCATATTTCAGTCGTAAAAGATTTATGAAATGGATACCTGTTATTCCCATACTCCATAGTGCATCTGCTTGCAATATTGCAGTAATCTGCCTCGGAATAGCTCTCAGCAACCGCCTGCTAGTGTGCCTTCCTGTAGACTGCCAAAACTGATTGTTCTAGGAAATTACAATCATGTGTACGTTATAAAACTGCTGACTGAAAAACATTTAAACGACTATTTGTTTGCAGCATAAAATACAGATTAACACTGACAATTCTTATTCTGCCATTACTGCTCTACGAAAGCAGGAGTGGAAATATACACACATTTTCCAAACGTGTGCTTTTACAATTTTGCATACCTCACTGTATATGTTCATGAGATCCACATTTAATGCTACAAACCATGTCTTTCTACAATGAACAATTTTTCAGAAAACTGGTCAAGACTGACATGAGCTTTGCTTACAGGAGTTACACTCAGATGATGTCAACCAATTCCAAACACAAACAAAATCTTTCAGGCAGTTTCAGTGACGTAACATCTGAATAGACAGACAGACAAATACAATATCCCCATTACGTTGTAGCATCTACAGCTGTTATCATGAGATGACCGTGAAATAGGCAAATATATCATAAACATTTCTAGGCAATGGCTCTGTAAACAAGTACCCATAGTGAGGAATCAATGTGGAACAACAGAGGTACTGAAGAAAGCAGTCTTCTGGGATTTGGCACCGTGTATATGTGGTGTTANGGTACTGTTGGAAATGTGATGTTTCTACATGAAAATATCGGCAGCGCAAATAAAGAATTTCACTTCAAGATAATAAATATTTTCACATGTTCCCTTACATTGATTCAGTCCATTTGAGATTATGAACATTACTCTAATCAATTTTCATCCTTATTCCATAAATTTGATCAGTTTCATGACATTCCACAGTGATAGTCAAACAGATTGAAATATGTCACAGAACTGACAGTTATTTATGGAATAAAGTTTGTGTTATTGTTTTAAAGAGTAATATTCACATGTTCTGTTTTTCAGTTTGTTTTGAACAAGCAACATGTGATCAGTTGCAGTATGTAACATAATGAAAGAAAGCTATCACTGTCGTATACATGGTGGTTGCTTTATTTAAACGTACAACACTTGCGTTATACTTGTATTAATAAAAATAACAAATTTTTGCATTAAAGACCTAGAAATAAGGATCATAGCACTAGAAATAAATTCCTTTAAATAGTATGCAGCTTTTATGAGAAGAAAATATCAAAACTAATACACTGGTTGGAAGAAGTTAGGAGCAGTACTGTAACAATGAAGATTCGTATCTTCAGTGCACATTTTCAAGCATGATACATACAAATGCTAAACTGGCTCTCCGCAATGGTCGAGATGATTGCCATGTATGATAGGTGCAGCCAGGTCCCAAACAGTCTGCTTTGGAATCAGTGAGGTTGACATATTTTAATGTTCTGTGTACTACTCGCTGAGGTGTCACACGCCGCACTGATGGATGCCTATTAAGTGCTGCCAGCCCACTCAACTTCTCTGTTTCTTCCAACTATAGCACACACAAAAATAATTTATATTAGTGAAATGACAAATGCTCATTCCAGTTTGTACCCTTCGCACAATATTTCAGCACTCTTCTAAGTACAGCTAAAATATGTTCTCTCATCAGTCGGTAAGTCTCGGTGTCGAGCCCCATCTCGGGCTCATGACCAGATATTTATTACCTTTAACAGTTACAGTCTTGTTTCTGTGGGGCGCCCTCTCTGACGAGAGGATGGGTCTGCCTTTTGTATGTGCTCCTGGCCCCTGCCAGTGCAGTCTTTATAGGGTCTGAGTCCCTTGGGACTCAAGACCATATTTTACTGTCTCAGATTTGAGACTTCCCCTTCTGTCGCTTCCTACGACTCGCAGGGTCACGTTGGAGGTATTTGACCCTGCCTCCACATGGGGTTCTCTCGTCAGTGTTGATTTTACAACCTATATGAGATAAATTTAAAATAACTGAAGCAATTCTCTAAAAAGATCACTCAATTTCAGCCAGTGTGGTCAACTTCAAATTACTTTCCTTCTGACTTTAAGCACATATTTGAATGCTTCTGTTTGTGAACATCCCTTTCTTACTTTCATCACATTTCTCTGAATGTCTTCAAATGATTCAAAATGACTCTTCAAGAAGATTTTTAGTTTTAGCAATACGAAAAATTGCCATATGAGGTCACAGCAGGCCAGTCTGATGGATGTTCAAACACTGGTATTTGCTTCTTTGACAAAATTATTTCACTCAGAGTATTATGTGGAAAAGGATATTGTCATAATGCAAAGTTCACTTGTCTGACAAAAGATTAGGCCCTTTTTGACTAATGTGCTGCTCTAAAATATACAACATTTTAACATATTTGAGCAATTGGTTGATGGTTTTGAAGCAATAAATTTGCAATGGATAATCTCTTTTATATCAAAAACACAGAGAAGCATGTTTCCAATCTTTGAATTTGACAGTTGCACCTTTTCTGGTCCTGGGAACTCTGCACTGTAGGTTTGGAAAGTTTATGCATGGCATTGAAAGATGTCATTATTTTTAACAAAAGGTCAGGTTATTATTATTATTATTATTAGAGGGGGTGGGTTTCCCCATGCACTTAGACCAGTTATTGGTCCATTGTGCGTCCCCCTTTAATTTCTACTGTCTCCATACCCTACCGGTACTGGTGTGTGCTATCAGCTCCATTCAGCCAACGAGGTCGGCCCTCGGTACCTGATATTTCCCCCATCTACCAGAGGCATTGGAAACTACTTGGGCGGGAAATGTGTTGCCTAATTTTGCTCAGAGGTCTCCTAGAGACATGAGGATCTTTTACGTGCTGTAAATCTATGACACAGGACCCATGGCTTAAAGTCCCTCATGGAGGACTTGTTCCCTGAATTTTTCCGCCCTTAAAAATTCCATGACCTCCGCCATATGTACCTCGAGTCATCAGGCGGGAACGTTACCCCTAGACTACGGAGGCCACTAGAGGTCAGGTTCCTCCAATAATATTGCTGAAATTCTCCTGTTTGCCAACTGCTGAGATTTTTCAGTGCCATTTTGGCACAGACTTTCATTATATTCACATCTTTAGTCAAAATCAATCTCCCAGTTTTTAGATTCCTGTTCAGTTCTTTGCTATATTCCACAGAGTCAATGCTTACTGCTAGCCACAAGCTTCAGGAATAAGTCTGGGTTTTTTAGGATGCTGAGGCAACTTTCAAATTTAAGTTAGAAAAGGAAAGGGTTGTGACAAAATGACTAACACGTCTGTCATCAGCAAAATGTTTTTTAACTTTACATGATTTTTATATTTTTTTTTTCAAGATACCTTTCCACTGCAAACTTAAAACTAAATTCTAGACAAACTACTATAATCATGGAAAAAAAAATATATAACAGATTATTAAACGATTCTCTCCTGAATACACTATACAGTTGTCCATATGTGTAAGGTTTATTCTTAAAGTGCATGACAAAAATATCCAGTCAAAGTTACTTAGAGAAAGATGCAGGATTTGAGTCTTGGCTGATCTCCTGAGATATAATGTCATATAGTCTGCTGAAAGTAAACTGACGTTTCAGGGAAATGTGTCACCTCCATCTTCAAGGCTGAAGAATCAGAGAAGCAAGAAAACAGCATTTAATTTCATTTATTCACCTTCCATAAATCCTGTTGAGAGTACATTCTCATGTGGATTTGGACATCGTCCTTGTCACAGTCACAAAGCACAAAGTAGGTAGCAAGAAGCATGCTGCTTGCTACCTCTGTCAGTTACCAATTAACAAAATATGTTTATACTTACCAAAACAACATCAAAATCACTAGGATAGTCACTTGCTGGATTATTCCGAGTTAGAATCCTCCAATTTTCTACTCCAGATCCATTGAGAGCAGCAGTGATGAACTTTTCCCTCGTATTTGTTTTGTAATAATCATTAAATGCAACAATATATTCTGAAATATAAGATACTTTACTGAAAACACTATGTCTGGCTAATAAACAAAAATTTTATACCTATAACATAAAATATTTCCATCTTTCCACATCCTTCATTTTTCAGTGATGGGTGCTATGACACACTATACAGAAGGACATAATTCAGTAAGTGATTTATGTCCACTCCTGTTTTGTCTCTAGGCAACCCTATACGCTCAGGATTACTGGATCTTTTTCCACCCTCTGGTGAAAGTGTGGGTGGCACCCTTTCACTGAGGATGGAAACAGATCCGGCTTCAGAAATGCTGCTTTTGCACATTAGACAGAGGATGAAGACCAAAAAGTGAGTAATTCCTAGTGTTATATATCACTGTCAGAACCCTTTACAACCAGCCTTATGTGGCTTATTGCACAGTTACACCATTTTTTTTGTACTGGCCACCTGTGAGCCACCACCGCCTGTAACCAACAAAACTGGCTGAGCAATTCTAGCCACTGCTGCCACACAGTGTGGAAGGTCTCATATAATTTAATGGTACACTGCGGTGGTGCAGCCATCATGGATCCAAATGTGAAATGCATAACTTCAACATTATTCCATTCCATTTATTTCACTTTCTAATTGATCCTGATACAGGCTTAATACAAGCCACAGGATATAGAATGGGTCACAAGATCAAAATTGAAGTTACAATAATTACTTGAAACATGTCAAAAACAAAAAACAAAACAAAACAAACATACATGCAAACAATTATAAAACATAAAGCGTACATACATAAACAAATTACGCCAGATTAACCCCAAACTATTTGAGAACCTAGGGGCACATGGTAGCATAGTTGGTTGAGGCACTATGCTACAAGCCGGTAGGTCGCGGGTTCAAGTCCTGATGAGGTCACTGGATTTTTTTCAATTGACCTAACTCTTCCAACCACCTGGGGTTGACTCAGCCTCTAACAGAAATGAGTACCAGGAATTAATTAAGTAATCTTCCTGGGGAGTAAAGCGCAGTCGGCGCGTAAGGTTGACAACCTTACTGCCATCTTTGAGCCAATTGTCTAGATAATGTGGGACCCTCAGTGTCTCGCAACCCTATGGGCCTTCATGGCCTGTTACCTGTTACAGGGATAGCTTTAATTTACTTTATGCAAAAGTAGAACAAGTTCTGACTTTGTGCTGAAAAATATATAATTACACAGAAATTGGCAAATTATGGAAGAGGATAGCAAATATAATATAATGAGGATCGCAAATATTACAAGAGAACCTTCACAATTTATACTCAACACATGCTACAGTGATCAAACAAATGAGGCTGAAATGATAAATACATACAAAATTTTAGTTTACTAACCTCATGTATGGAAGAGATCACATGGGAGACCTATGTATCGGCGGGATGAAATCTCAAAAACATATATTTAAAAACAAGGTACAAGAGTGTGGGTTGGACTGAAATGGCTAAAGGTAAGGTACAGTAATGGGCTCTAATGAACACAGTAATGAACATTTGGGCTCCATACAAGGCAAATGCGTTTACTGGCCTTGTGATCAACAATTATCTTCACAAGGTTTGTTTTACAAAATTATTTGCAAAGTAACTCATTTTACTCCATTGACAAATTTGTTGAGCATGCAATGGGCTCAAGAGTTAATAAATGGCCTGTGTGCTTGTATTATACGTTGTTGAGACTTGCTTGTTGTAAGTGTGGTAGTATGTATGACGTCCGTGTTTGTTATGAATTTTAATATATAATGAAACTGTATTGATGATATGGCTGGCCAGTGTGTGTGGAATGGCAAGGTGTGAATCTGACAGTGGTTTTTCCATGGCCTATGTGTGTAGTCTTGACAACTTGTGCTGTCTGCGTGAGGCCTGATTATTTTATTGGACCAATGATATATGATGTGTAGTCATCACGAATTTGTAATGTGTGACATGTTTTATATCCAGCCTTACGAGGAGATGGCTGGATCCATGAAGTGAAAATAAATGTAAATGTAAATGGAAAGGTGAAATGTGTTGCTACATATAGATGATTAAGATCAAATTTTTTCTAAACACTTCGCTATAAAACTCAGATATTTAAGACAAATAAACTACGTAAATATCTGTCCCAAAGTTTTTAAAAATATGCGTGTCCATCAGAAAACTGCTGAAGGTATGAAAAGTGTTAATTGTTTATGGTGCTCCTTACCATTTCTCACTACTTGAGACGAGAACTTGACCTTCACCATTTGAACATGGCTTGTGTCATTGCACCGAATCTTCAACCACTTATCGTCAGATTGTTCCTCTAGTGCCTCCACAGACCATGTATGTGTTAGCAGCAACAGAAACGGTATGCACCAAAAGTGTTTCTGTCTTAACCTCACTTTCAACTTCATGACTTCTATAAAACCTATTTGTAACAAAACACCATGCCATCTCTGATTCTAGTCACTGTCCCTGGCTAATATAGTCCATTCTAATGATTTCTCTGACAGTCACCATCATTAATTATAACTCACACACTGTTTGCATACGGGTACAAAATACCTCATATTTCCATAATGTCACAATAGACGGCCCCATAACGAACTTTTATAGTGATCTTATCCTAACTGTTTCGCGACCCAAACATCATGATGACAAAAATGGGCATACTGATGGCAAAATATTAAACATTTAAGCAGTAAATCCATAATGTCAAATTCAACTTCAACCACTCCTCGCCATTTTAAATTTTGAGTCTTACGGGGTGTCCATCACGGATTGCGGCCGTCAGATGAACGCACATGAATGATGACAAAGAGCATAATAGCTCTGGTACCGGTTTTATTCGGTTATTTCCAAGGAAAGATGACATGAAACAATATAACTAATTAGAGGATGAAAATTGATATTGAGATACGACAAAACATTTGATATCTGAGGCCCTGACACCGGTGACTACGAAGATTGCTGTGCTGTGAAATGACGCCGTGCGGCTGGTAAGTCTTTACCAACGCTTCACAATAATCAGTTGCCTCCATCTTCAGGGTAGAAGAGTAATCGGAGAGTGGAGAACATGGTATCCAGCCTGGACCCTCTCTCCCTATGTCCTTACTCAGTTTTTGCAAGCTTAAGATTACTTTTTCATCCTGAAGATGAAGAAACAACTTCCTCCGAAACGTTAACAACGATCTGCCAGACACAGGGTGTAACATCACAGAAGACAGTCTTCATAACTGACAAAACATGGTTCAAGAGCAGCATGTACTTGCATGCTGTGTCTACAGCATTACATCCCAGAAATTTATTTATGTTTGAAAAGCAGCATACACTCTTCTCACTTCATCTATTGTCACAACTAAGAAGATCAAACTTTTGATGCCTTATTTACGTTTGAAAATGAACTGGTTTTGTTTGTTCCTCCTCAGGACACCCAGTGCTATGAAACAGGTCACTGTCACATCCTTTCCAGTATTTACTAATGGTACCCACCCTGCTTCATTCCCTATGGACACCACAGCTTACAACTAAACTAATGTAATGTATCTTGGTATCGCCTTTGATAGGAGGATGACATGGAGAAACCATATCGAAAGGCCCTGCACACATACAGGAGCACCCATTCTCTATTCAAAAGTGGGTGTTTAAGTGCAAATATGAAATTTACACTTCACAAAGTTCTGATTAGGTCAGTTATGACTTATGACTGTCGAACCTGCCAGTATGCGGCAGACGCCCACATCTTGCAACTGCATTGTCTCCAGAACAGAGTACTCTGTTCTACTGGAAATCTTGACAAGTGTACACCAGTCTGTGAATTGAACTTGGCTTTCAAAATTTTCTATGCGTATGACTATGTGAGTAAATTATGCAGGACATAGGCAGCGTGAATATACTCGTGCAGACACTACAGTGCAACAGTTATAGCTCCTACACAGAAAGACTGACTCCTTCCTTCCCAAAGAGGTCCAACTTCTAAACATGCACATATCTAGGAGAGAACAAAGATCTTGGTCATGGATCTCGAGGAGACTGAAACCAGGAATAACTGTGCCGGTGAAGGCCATGTGGTTTGATTCATATATATGCATTTATTTGTTTTAATTTCTGAAATTTAGTTTGTTGTATTGTACCTCACATCTCAGGGTTGATTCAGTTATTATTTGTTTTGTATTTCCTGATATAATTTAAACCAGTTTCTGCATTTACTTTCCATCAACACACTTACATGCATGCCCCATGAATCATTCTTAACTGGCAACTATTTATTACATCACTCAGTTTTCCCTCCTCAACAAGAATGAATTCAGTCATCGTGCACTGCCTATGACACAAACACTCGTCTTCCTGTGCCCTACTGAATGGTTTTAATGTATGGCTGGTGACACCATTAACCAACCACATACTTCTGTGCAGAAGAATGTTTCTTAAGAAGGTAGCAGTCACTTAACTGGTCAAGGAATTCCCTGTCTTCTATGGCACCCGCTGGTTCATTGTGTTCGCAACACCCTTCCTTTGGTCCCCATCATGAGCCAAGTGTGAGGATCTATGCAACACTGGACACATTAGCTTTTACAGTGAGAGGTTATCAGTTCTTCCACATAATCCTCAGATTGGATAAGCAACCCTTGCTGTCTACAAGAGCCCATTTAATATATTTGTAGTTACTCTCCACATTTTGAGCCCATCTCTCCATCCACACTGTGAAAATCTTTGCTTTAAAGCATGATAACCCAGATAATGTGCTATCTACAAATGCTGGGCCTGGTATGAAGATATACGTATAATGCAGGGACCACATTCCTGATGATACTTACAAACAGGGGAGTGCTGGATCTGGTTCACATTGGTTCAAATACACAGGCACCTAAAAGTTCAAAACAGATGAAAAATTGGCCTGGAAGCGAGACTGATCTGATCACAAAGCATCATGGGCAAGGCAAACTTGTGGTGAAAATTTTGGCAGTACACACCTGTATACAAATATCCTTACTACAACTGCTGTAAAGGAACTTAAAATATAATAGGAATTTAAGGATGTATAAGCATTGTGTGCATTTGAATTTATAAATACATTTCTTAATTTTAATATTCCTCTCTTTTTCTGTAACATTGTAACAAATATCCAAGTACTGGAACACTTTCTTTTTTGACCAGTTGTCACACCGCTGATTCAAGAAAGTTAAAATACAACTATGGTACAATGCAGTGTTACAAATATCCTCATTACATCTTTTCAGCATGTAACATGTAGACAGGATGTGATGTATACATATATTCAAGAATTAAAACTGTCTGCAGTTTAATAAAGATCTTGTATTAAGTCAGAATAATGGAATGTATGGAACAGCAGCTGCAAAATGTGCATGATATATAAATTAACATTAAAGGTGTACTACATAAAGTATGTAAAGTAAGGAAGAAAGTGTTAGATAACTGGCTTCAGTTCTAATTCATAAGAAAACAAATTAGCAGAAGCCTTTTTGGTTCATTCTGTTTTCAGTGGCATATTCACGCCTATAAGAACCTTCTTCTCCCCTTATTGCTACTAATACTGCACACAAACTACTCACAATGAAAAATAAAATGTACATGGAAAGCAATTTCATATGGAGAAATAATATAATGTGTGCTCATATATAATTTTTTTTAATGCTAGTGGGGTGGGACCAAGTCCCTTGTACTGTGGCCACTTCTGGCTTATTGTACCAGCCCCAGATGATAGGTGAGGGTGATTGTGGAGCAATTGGTGGAATGAAGATTGGCGGGGGAAACCGAAGTACTCAGAGAAAACTTGCCCCAGCGCCACTTTGACCACCACAAATCCCACTTCAGCAGACTCGGGATCAAACCCGGGCTGCCGCAGTGGGAGGCCAGCGACTAACCACTTGAGCTATGGCGCGGCCGTGTACATATATATGACAACTTCTATATATTAAATACCATTATTTAATAAACATATGCAATAAAAACAGTACTTAAAATTCAGTTGCCACTCAGCATAATGCTTTTCAATACATATAATTCAATTATCTACTAGCAGCAATCTTATCCACCTTCATCAGGATGTTTCTAGGTACTGAGTAACCTGACTGAGGTTTTTGTGGTTTTCCTCAGTCTGCAGGTGAATGATGAGACAGTATCTTAAATTAGGCTATGACTGCTTCCTTCCACACCATTTCAAATTCATCATTAACTACAAGTATCATCTATTCACCTGACATGTTACACTCTGAGCTACTGTTTGTATCATTAAATAAATAAACTTCACTGTTTAAAATGCATTATCTGATGCTGCTGCAGCCATTACTGCAGTTAGAGATATTTCAGTGAAGGTTTAATATATGGGGCTGATACATGATTCATGGACATATGGGTAACACAAAAAATGATATACTTTTATATGACACCTTCAGAAGTATGAAAATTACTGTCATGATATGTATTTTTGGCTACAGATATAATCAGACAACAGGTATTATGGAAGTTAAAAGAATGAAGTTTTCCATACTGTCATCGTTTAGGCTGTGATAATGTGTAGGCTGACAGATAGGTACCAGTGTTCTGGAATACTGTACTGCCCCCGTCACCATGAAAATGGAGAGAGTAGATTCCTGTAAGATGTTGGCACTCTTATCAAACTACATGATGTCGCTGCCACATACATTTAAAATCATATAAAATGAAGCTGTCCTTCAGCCCTTCAGCTGGGTATAAATATAATAATATTACTAAAATGACAATATTAACTATATCATTATTCTCACCATGACATGTTCTGATCTATTGATCATTCTTAGGTGGTTTTATGAATACATATATTTATAATGATGAGAATGATCAATAGACCAAACACGTTACAGTAAGAATAACAATAAAGTTAATATTGCCATTTTATTAATCTTACTGAATTTATAAGCAATTGTTGTGTAGATACATCTCCGTACAATATAATTTACACACAACAGGATGCAAAGATTCAACACGTACTCATACAGCAGTTAAAAAAAAACAAGAACTGGATCTGCATAAATGTAATGTCTTTCTCATGAAATTTTTAACCCCCCAGTACATTTTCCTTGTTCTCCCTTGAACAATATTTTTAGATGATTTTGAGGATGATACAGATTAAAGTTCTTTAACCCCAGTAATTCTAAGAGTTATATGTCTCCTTATATATTTGTCAGTTCTCACAGATATCCCTTGGGCCCTGCTTAAATTGTTCAATATAAGTCGTTCATGCATGCACTGACTGTACAACACTAATTTGTACTTTCAAATTACTGCCTCTCATGAAGTAAAATCATTTACATCATGCTATTTTCTGTTCTTTGTTGTGGTGTATTCTTTGCTGAATTCATGCAAAAACTGGAAATTATATTTAAATTTCTGTATATAGTAAAATCTCATTTAAGGTTCGTCTGGGAAGAAGTGGATTTGAACGTTAAAGTGAGGAGCAAGGAAAATTTCAGCTGGAGAAAATTTAATACTGAACCTTAATGTTAAATAAGGACAAAACCTTACATCGAGAGACGTGAATTTTGGATTCACTATACTGAATTTAAAAAGAAAATATACTACCATATCAGAAGCAGGTCCAGGAGAAATAGGAGAGATGGGACGATAATTGTGATATTTAAAATTAAACACTTTGAAAGAGTCAAAGTTTGTTTCTTTGCTCTTCAGTGTTTCTTGTGTTTCATTTAATCATCTGTCACTTCTAAAATTCATGACAATGGTATATTAATATAATGATAAACTTTTTGGACATTCACCATCCTCATATTCTTATTAAAAATGACATTTCTGAGACATGAACTATGTCTCCATTCTAGGGCAAAAAAGCTCACTTAGGCCAAATCTATTCAGCAAGTTCCTACCTCCAGACATCTGAAGCAGCACAAGATGCAATATATAAACCAAGTAAAACAGGAACCATCTGTGGGAGTAAAATTAAATATATATATCCATATGCATGAGATGATGCACCTATGGCCACAGATCATAAAACCAGAGTCTGACTAAAATAGAAGCTGAAACCACTGAGTGAGATTATAAAAAGGACAAATATAGGTACGTTAAAATCAATGATAGGAAGTAGTCTATTGACATTTAAAATTTTACATAATACAAAAACAGATGCAATTGTAAACCCATCATATACAGAGGATTAAAATTCAGGCAGATAAAATTTCCTGTATACCGATGAGGTTCTAAGAGCAAATAAATCAGTACTAATAATTATTGAATAAATAAGACAATCATATTTGCTAACTTCCTCTCCCATGACGGGGGTCCAGATGAGTGAGCTCTCCAAGCTAGGTTGAACGACTGGAAGAGATACTTTGAGACATTTTGGCTGATTTCTTGTATTTTCTGTAGGTGCTGTTAGGTTCAATCTGTAAAATCTTCTTTTCAACATATTTGGAGGTTTTATCTGGTGTGCATATTAGGTTTATTTTAACTCTTTGATAAAACTTTGCATCAGACCATATTTGTGCTCCTTAATGCATACTACCAAAGGTCTACCTGTTTTGCTGATGTAACATCTGCCAGTCACATGCAATACTGTGCGCACACTGCTTTGTCTGCTGGGCACATCTAACAGGTTCAGTTTCCATCAGTGTCCCACAGTGTATATATAGTTCTGTAAATTCTGCTAACATTGAAGTCATCCCCAATGAATATGGGATGCCATGTTATGTTCCACCTGAAGGACACATGCTTCTCCTTGACTTGACAATGGAATCAATTAAGTGTTGTGGGTATTCATTAAACATCAGATCCTGCTTACATTCTTAATTTCCCTGTTGAAATCCTTCAAATCCTGACATATGACACTGCTTCTATTGACAAAGTTATGAACAATTCCTCTCTTTAAGTGAAGGAGGTGGTCAGATTTAAAATGTAAAGAGTCTTGTATGGGTAGGTTTCCTTTATCATTTTGTGGTTAAATTATGGTCCCTCTTCATGATCAAGACATCTAAGAAGGGAAGAGTATTACTAATTTCAAATTCAACTGTGAATCTTGTGGTAGATCTGAGGCTGATGAGGAGGTGAATAAATTATTACAGTCCTGCTGGTTCATGTAGCAGTACATCATCGATATATCTTAGCCAACAGTGGGTTTGTGGTCTGCAGTACCCAGTGCTGTTCCCTGAAAGTGTTCTATACATATGCAGCTGACCACTCGCTACAATGAGCTTCCCATTTACACTCCGTATTTTTTTGTGATTGAATTTGTCCTAAAACTGAAAATGCATAGTTCTTAAACATATTTCAGTAATCCCATGACATCTTCAATATGCAGAAGTGAGCAGTATGAGGAAGAAAGACCCAGTCCCTGGAATGACGTCTGAGATAAAAGTAGGAAGATAGACTGTGTTAAAAAAAATCAGTCCTTACAGCCATCACTTCCATTAGGTTGTAGCACACTGTCTGTGCTGAACCTGTTCAACATGCAATAGAATAGGACTGTTTCTTTTAAACAGACACTGCATTAATAACTCTGATGCACAAAACTAGACTCTCCTTTGACTTAAAAGTGGCACTTGTTAACAATTACAGAGGCTGTTTTTCAGATTCTTTCAAACATGGATGGTGTAGTCTTGCTTTTCTCTGTCCCGTTCTTGTCGATACCTGCAACACACAGATAACATTCAACAACATTGGAGAGCAGGCACATAAATAGATGTTCCTTACTAAAATTTGTACATAGCATAAAATGCAAAACTCCTTGAAATCTGCAAGTGTTATTTGAAACACTATAAAATGTGGCTGATATTTAAGAAAATAAAAAGAGAAACAATTTTTTGAACACGGAAAACAGCGAATAGGATTGAAACAGAATGAATGAATCAGCAATGTGATGGAACTAACTAATTCATTCAATTGTTTTTCTATTTCTATGGAAGAAATGCGCAATTATTGAAATAGTAATTAATTCTGATAATTTTAGATAAGCTTTTTGAAAAGAATAAGAAAGTTAATGTGATTCAAAAAAGTAAGCAAGTAAAGTAAAGGTATCCCTGTAACAGGCCATGGAGGCCCATAGGGTTGGGAGATCTTGAGGTTCCCACATTTCCTAGACAATTGGCTCATAGATGGCGGCAAGGTTGTCAGCCCTACGCGCAAACCACCCTTTACCCCCAAGAATATTCCTGGTACGAGGCTGAGTCGACCCCAGGGCCATAGTGCGGCTGGAAGGATTGGGTCTATTGAAAAATATCCAATGACCTCATCGGGACTTACACCCGCGACCTTCCAGCTTGTAGCATAGTGCCTCAACCAACTATGCTACCACGTTTCAATACATATATAATGCTCATTCAAGATTTAAGATTATGTCACATGGATGGTGACAAGACATATCAACCAAAACATAAATAAAAATGTGTACAAGGAGAGGAATTTAGCCTATCTCAGAAAGGTACACTATACAAGATCTGTATTCGTGACATTACACATAAAATATGTGGAAGAAAATAATGTGTATTAATCATCCTACCACATATTTTCATTAGGCACAAATAAAAATGAACTCTAATGATGTACATAAAATTGCAAATTGTGTTAGGAAAATATGTGTTGTTCAGATTGAAATGCCCATTTTCAAGCTTGTTTAACTAAGCTTTTGGTTTTGTGTTTAGATAATTATGACCACATATTTGCAGTAAGACGATTTTGACTTCAACTAAACCCTTTTTCATGCCTAATGAAACAGAACAGTGCAATTAAGGTACCTGTCATGCTGAATAAACTAAAATCTAGGTCATTACAGTAAACATACAAACTCATGTTCTGTATGCTGCAGCATGTAACAGTTTGTTCCTGACATTACTACAAACCTTTTGACAAGAGTGGACAGTTCCTGCTCAAGTTCCTCATGCCGGAAAAGTGGAAGGGCAACATTTTCTGGACCAGATGCTGCTTCACGATCACATTCAGCCTCGGAGAGCTCCTGTCCATCTGAGAAGCCAGATGGAGGTTGAAGAGGAACCACCTCCTGACACACTATACTGCCTCTGGTATTTGGTCTGCAATATATTTAGTCAGTGCATAAGTCTGCAAGCTACTAATGTTCCTACAAAGATAGAAGCAAGTTTATATAGACTGTTAATGGATTCCACCTCCTGATTTTATGTAATTTACATGTTTTACAACAGCAGATGTGTTGAACGATAGATTATGAAGATAACTGCAGTCTAAGATGAGACATTGTGTAGCCTGGTAGATTGTTATCAGTGTCTGAGAGGAACCTGCGTCCACCTTCTGCCATGAATAAGGAAGCAGCAGGTTCCTCCAAATGTTGGTAATGATATACCAGACTATAATGTGTCATATCGCAAAAGACAGTAACTTTTATTGTCACTGCCACAGGAACCTCAAATCTCAAAGATAAGGCATAGTGCTGTTATGTGAATCATTGATTTGCTTACGAACATGGCCTGTCATGTTCATCTTACATGTTAATTTTTCCAGAAGTAGAACAGTAAATGTTACATTTTATCTCCTCTGCCACTTCATAAAATGAATGGCACTACACTACTGAATATGCTCTTCTGTCTTAGTTTATCAATTATGTAAAACTGTAGAACACTTATGAACTTCATATGCATTTCATGTGTGGTATGAGACATTTTTTTCAGTTATTTTACTTCTTACTGCCACACAACCTCTGACAGAATGATACTAAAGCAAGAACAGAAAGAAATGTTTCTTTCTAAACTGAATTTTTCAGAATCATTACTTCTCTGGTACTAACATTACATTATATTATATTACATTAGATTACATTATGTTGTAATAAAACATTCATATTCTATTTTCCAGAACTAAAGAAAATTATATTTTGTATTCAGATGTTTTCACTTCATTGGCACAACTGAAATATCTGCATGTCCAGAATTTTAGTGCATTCAAGTTTCAGATTTGATTGTAAAAATGAAAACCAAATTTTCCATGATAATGACTGATATCTGGGCTCAGTTTCTTGGAGAGAATGATTGGGTATTTAACACATACAGAGTATTATCTCTGCAGCATTCTCTTCTGAACTGCTGAAAATGATTACCATCCCATTTTATATTTTGTGAGTTTAGATATTTTGATTTGTGCATTCCCTTCTCCAGTTAGCATTCACATTACAATTGAACTGTCATGAGCTGTATCTTTACATATCAGGATTATCCTAAACATAAAGTAAGGTGAGTAGCTGCATTTATGCAAGAGTTATTTATTTGTTTGCTTTGCTATTGCAAAGGGCTTCAACCTCAGGTCATTTTCTAACAAATATACAATTTTATGTGGCACCACAGAACCACTGTTGAAGTAATCTGAATTTTATGATTCATGAAAATTGAAATATTTGTTCAATCTTTTTAGGGACAACTAACTTCGGAAAACAGAAACTTTCCTTTAGAAGATGGTCCAAAAATCTTGGAGAGAACCATGAACAGATATAATGTAAACACACAAAGAATAAAATATTTGGAAAGATAAATACATATCTGAAAGTGATAAGAATGGAAACAGAACTGAACAGACTGGAGGCCTGCAAACAGACAGAAAAGCTCAATGAATATCAGGCAGGATTTCCACACAACACTTTACTGATTTTTATTAAAAAAGGTGATAATGAGATATGCAAGGACTGAAAAATATGATAAATTATTTCAGATTTTCCTATGATAAAATGTTTGGAAAAGTGTTAGTGATTTATTCTTCAAATATTACTGGTAACATATCTATACAGAATGATACATTTCTCTGTCACGTGAGAAGTCCACAAATCGTTTGCAGGTGTAAACTGATAACTGAACAATATGCAATTCAGTTATGTTATAATAATTATGCAGGTAGTGAATAAACTGGTTCAGTATCATGTGTAACACCGTGGCGGCAGGGGGGCGTGGAGGGATCCCTCGCCGCCNATTCATTATCATGTTTCTGGTTGTGCATCAATTTATGCAGCATTCTGATAAAGTACAGTAAAAGTTTAAGAATATTAGCATAATACTGTCACGTGACTACAGACGGGGTATGGATTGGTGAATCAATTTATTGACCACTTATACACCCATGACTTGGAAACACATGTAATGTCAGAGCCATTGCTAAGCTCCATAATTTACAAATCACCACAACACCTGATAAGCCTTTTCCAGCCTAATGTATCTTCACCAGCTGTTCCCTGGCAATGGCTTCTAACATTGGAGATTCTTCAGCTTCATGTGGTCAGGNCTCATATAGTTTACAGGTAGCCACGTGTTACTTTATTAACACATCTTAAGGGGCGTTGGTATCACGGCTACTAACTACTGCCTGTGTGGCAGGTGCCTACCCCTGTCCATTCCTAGTACCTCCCCTTAAGCATTCAGCTGCTGTTGCAACTCTCCTTTTGGGGAGGATCTGCTTGATGGGTCGAGGAAAGGTGATTATGGAGGGTGAATCACAATTCCCTGCGTACATCCTATCCTCTCTACTCTATCTATTTACACTCTTATATTTACATGATTTACAATATTTACATCATTACAAGGCCGACTTTCAGTCGGGTCTACATAGGCTTCACTTCACGCTACACTAGGAACCTCCCCCCTTCGGGGGTGTAAAACTGGAGTCTCTCTCTCTCTTCAACTATAGGCAAGTATTGATCGTTCCATGTGATCCTGTTTCCCAACTAGTCATTAGATACGATTACACTGTCCTTCGTAAAGTTCACTCTTAACATAATCTACCCTTAGTTATACCTATTGAAACCCACATACTATATTTATCGCTACACGCTAACCATAACCTTGACACATACACTATAAAACCCTTATTGCCTGACTAACATCCTAGGCTACTACATGTTACATGATTCTAGTATCCTCCCCTAAGTGCTCGCCGGGCACACTGGAGTTTGCACATTCAAATCTCACAACAACACTTTTATCAACAATACTATTAAACAACATGGCTGATATGCGTAAACAAGACTTACTTGACATAGAAGAATGCAGGCCCTTCCAGCACTCGTCAAACCCATACTGAATAGCGCCTCCGGCTGACAACTGGCTATTATCTGTGAGATCAGAATCCCAAGTCTCTCGAAATTCAGTAATTTATAGTTTTAATTTGCTAATTCAGCTGTTGACGACAGAGGGTAGTTAACTCCTCCTCAGTGTCCTCAATTCCCAAAGTAATATTCTCATTGGATATTCTAGGTGGCTGGGGGTGGACCCACGGTATCTTATTGCTGCGTATTTACTCATATGACCATCTCTAGTGGCCTAGTTAGCGGAGCGTCTTACTTACGCTATTACGCATAAATGCTGATCATCAACATTCTTAACCTAGTTGCCTGTCCAGGTGTTGTCATCTATTGTAATGGCTGTAAAACACTTTGCGCAAGTCTCGAACATTTAGGTAATGGCTTAAATTTCCAGTCTCAAATTTGAGGCGCTACACAGAAACACACAATATTTNTTGTGCATCAATTTATGCAGCATTCTGATAAAGTACAGTAAAAGTTTAAGAATATTAGCATAATACTGTCACGTGACTACAGACGGGGTATGGATTGGTGAATCAATTTATTGACCACTTATACACCCATGACTTGGAAACACATGTAATGTCAGAGCCATTGCTAAGCTCCATAATTTACAAATCACCACAACACCTGATAAGCTTTTTCCAGCCTAATGTATCTTCACCAGCTGCTCCCTGGCAATGGCTTCTAACATTGGAGATTCTTCAGCTTCATGTGGTCAGGTTCTGTCTTCACAGTCTCCTATGCAGAACTGCCAATCAAATGACATTGTCCCTTGTTTCTAATATCTCAGAACGGACCACATAGAAACACCCCATTTCAAACAGTACCTCTATTATTGTGTGTGTATTTGTTGGCACAGGGAATGTGTTGCCGAGCCATTGTCCAGAAACTGTTGTTGTTTACAGTGTCATTACTTAGCAATGAGTTTATACTCCACAATACCATGGAAAATTAATTACAAAATGAATAACAGTGATTTATACTTTGTTAAGTCCTTTGAATATTTACTGGCTAAATTTTGGACAATTTTCTGCAATATTTATGGAGGTCATCATGGTATGAGTGAAAGGCTGAAACAAGTTTGATACTCCGGAGAGAGCTCGGCTGTAAATGAACAAATGACAGCACGGATTTGAGGTTCTTATGGCTGTGAATATTAAGATTATGATATTCTAGGATATGATGCCACACACTTTAGTAGATAGGCATCTGCATACCAAACTGCATGGCTTCATGTCCAATAAGACTATAATCCTAAGGGACAACATGCTTGCTCAAGGACCAGAGCACTACTTGTAACTGATCCTCCATATCTGGCTATGCTGACTCAATAGACAATTCTACATAAATATCTGTTTCTTGATTTTTCATACAGGATGAACTATTTTAACGTTATGGCAATGTTTCATGTCCTACTTAATAATCACAATAAATGCATAATAATTATCTCCATTCATTGTTCAAATGTTCTACATATGTATGTCAGGAAAGCATGAATTTACACATGATGTAAAAATAACGATTTGCATTTGTAAGACTGAAGCACAGAAATTGTCAGTGTGCATTCACAGAGACAGATCCAGGCCCTTCTGCTAGCATGCATCTTTACTGATCATTCAGAGAGACATGCAGACACCACTTTACTGTGATTAAAGTGAGCTGAAGAAGCATTCATAGGCACTTAATATGTAAGTAAAGAGCATCAACTGACAAGGCATTTCACTGAGTTAGTTTATCCCAGTCACAGTAAGCCTTTCCAAACTGCAACATTATATGTATTTTCAAAGAGGAGTGAAATGACATTTTTCCTTCTCCTCTGATAAAATTACAAGAAAATGCACACTATCTACATCTGCCTGAAAATATATAAAAAAGATTATAATTTACTATGGCTTCTTTCTTAACATTTTAAAAATGTTACAGCATGAAAAAAGCATGAAAAAATACAATAGACTGCTGCATCCATGACTTAAAATAGTATATGGAAGTAATTCACATGTGGTGAATCATATGAAGCCTGAATACTAATTAGACATTTAAATAAACCAAAGTAATCAGTGACAATGAATTCTTACAAATTTTTAAATATTAAAGAATTTATGTGCCTGTGATAAGACCTCTACAATGTATGTAAATGTAACACAGAATTAGACATACATCTATTAATTAAAATTGACTTTGCTAAAGAAAACTACTGATGCCTTTGATAAATCTATATGACTAATTAAGTTTAAAAATGTATATAAATTTACATTCATTTAGGAAAAATTTTGAATATTATACTGGTGAAATCTGAAATGTTCAACATACAAAGTGGCCAGATTCCACAGCATAAGTACAATGTTAAAAAAGTAATACTTTAATTTAATTGGATTGAAGATGTGTTAGGACTTCAATGATTCTCAGATTCAGGTATAATTTCACAAGGTGCACCATACCAATCTAACTACATTAATCAGACAGTTAACCTGCTGCATTTTCTTGTAGACAGACAGACAAAAGAGTTACTTAGACTTTCTTATACAGAATGACATCTTTGGTGAAAATGATGAAAACCTGCATTTAACTGGAAGCGAACATATGTGACATCAATGTGGGGATGAGGACTGAGATTAAATATACTAAATTAAACAGCCTTTTCATTGAAGATCATTGTCCTTTGTGATGTGACACTGTACAGAATGGTACATAGGTACCAACAATTTGGAGCAACCTGCTATCTCATCTTCAGGGTAGACCCAGAAATATTGGTATGTTCTACCAAACTACATGATAAAAACTACATAGAGAGAGATGTCTAAATATTTAAAACTGATATATTTTAAAGACACATTTGTATAAAACCCCCACTTTAAATATCGAGTAGTTATCCTGTGTGTCCATCATAATTTTTGAAGAAAGAACTTTCTTTCTATTAATGTAAAATTTCTAGTGTTTCATATTTCTGACACATATAATTTCTAAGCATGTACACTAAAACATGAAATAATAACACTGAACAACTGGAGTGTAACTGAATATGATAACAAAAAAGAATACTAAGTGGTAATGCTATGTTTTAACATAATTTTCTATTCATTTTGCTTTATTTAATATCAAATTATTTAAATCAGTTTTTTAAATAATGACTCCCATAATCTTATTTAAAAAATGTTAATACAATAACATCAGAAAATTCACTTTACCATATTCCTTGTTCCATAGCAGAGAACATTAAGATTATGAGGTAAATAAGCGCCTAAGATGAAAAAGTCATGTGTAAAACTGTGGAGCTTTGTATGTAGTGTAAGAGATGAGATCTGGCCACCAGTGTTAAATATGACATCACAAACTAGATATACTATAATGAGATTGTGAATACGATGTCAAATTCCATGCAGAGAGCTATGGCTTCACGCCATCGCAGCACCTACTTGCACTACCTGGATGGCGTCCCTCTCCGAGCCATCACACCACTGCGCCGTACTCTGTGGTTCACTTCTGGTGAAGCTTCTGCTGATTCTGTACTGGAATCCAGTTCAAAAACTGAATCTGCTGCAAAAAAACAATCTATTTTAAATGCTCTCACTTGGTGAGATAAAATGTAAGAGAAATTCCATATAAAATCAACTGAGGGTGGATACAAGACATTTATTTTCCCAGGCATACAGACTCTGCACTGTAGAACCGTGTATGGAATTCTCTAGTCTACTGATAAACACAATCACACAGAGCCTGTTACATTTCAGCATTTCACTGTACTCAACATCCACTCAAGCACCTTCTTTGAGGAGGAGGGGGGGAGTCAAAAAATTTTCAGCACAGGCTGAATATACCAAAATCACAGAGTGAAAGATCCAGATCATGTCACAGATGTTCCAACATGTTCCAATATTTTCAGTGTAGTGCACCCTTAATGGTGTTAGTTACATAAAGGCTTGCACTGACACTCAGAATTATGATGTCACAGATAGGTACTTGTTGAACCATCACTCCAGCAATAACCTCAGGTGGTTTCTATGGAATTTTTATATCTGATAATTATCGTGGAATCAGTGAGATTTCAGACTTCATGGTGGTGAAAATTAAGGTTGTGGTATTCTGTGTTATGATATCATGCAGTTTATCGGATGATCATGGTTTCATAAGAACCTGCTGCCTCCATTTTCAGGTAGAAGTTTCCTTAAAAAAATTGTAATAACCTATAAAACTATATAATGCCACACCCCACAAATCACAATCATAATGATGGAGTAATTTCTTGAATCTCACTAGCAGAAAGGAAAGAAAAATAAACCCTTTATTAATATGAGGACCTCCTGTCAAAACCTAAAATGAACAGCTGAAACCAACTGTTGAAAAACATAGTCTAAGAATATGTAATATAAAACCCTTTTACCTGTAAATAATGCAAAAAACCTTAATGCTTTTTGTACCTATTATGGACCAGGACATCAAAACAGACACTCTTGAATAATTTTTCAGTGCCTGTTCTTTTTCTTTCAACTTGTAATTGTTTTTGTGTTAACCAGGATGTGTGACTTTTAGTCAAGAACTTGCTGAATTACATCCACTATGAATTACATAAGATTATAAAATAATTAGAGGAATAGATCAACCAACTTTTGAAAAACATAGCCTAAGAATATGTAGTATAAAACCCTTTTACCTGTAAATAATGCAAAAAACCTTAATGCTTTTTGTACCTATTATGAACCAGGAGCTCAAAACAAACACTCCTGAATAATTTTTCAGTGCCTGTTCTTTTTCTTTCACCTTGTAATTGTTTTTGTGTTAACCAGGATGTGTGACTTTTAGTCAAGAACTTGCTGAATTACATAAGGTTATAAAATAATTACAGGAATAGATCATTAGTAAATAGATTTTTAGGTAAATGTGTATCTTAAGTCTGACAGTAAACTTTCTCCAAGTGCCTTAAGTTCAAGGTTAAGTAGAACAGAAAACTGTTCACTACTTTGCAGAATTTGTAGTAATTAAAACCTTAACCTTCTGTAGGTTTTGAGTTTTTAAATGCTATGAAACATTTTTAGCAAATGAGAATTGGTGCAAAGACAGAAATTAATGCAAGTCCAATCCCCATATCAATTCTGTAATTAGTCTAATATAATTAATTAAATATAAATAATGTTATATTTTTCTGTGAGACACTTTATTTACCATTTACACATTTAACGTGCAGACTGTGGAAAAAAAAAACGTTCAGTGTTATCTTTTCTGCTTCTATTTTTCATATGTTTCTTTCTATTTTACACAATTCTAAGTAATATATTTACTGACCATGGTGTGGTGCCTTGTTGGATCTGTGGTTGGCAGTAGGAAGTCGATACTGGGATGGAATTGCCTTAGGTTCGTTCCTCCTTGGACTTCCCGCCCCACCCGTACTACTATCTGAGTCTGACCGTTCTCTGTCCTGTTCACGATCCGTCCCCATTGAGCAACTACGCGATCGCCCAAAACCCACACCACTACTACTGCTTTGGCTTTCTTGATGTTGGTGACTGTGACCATGCCCATGATGTCCTGGTGGTGACTTGTTTCGACGGTGATGACTACTTGAGCTTGAAGCTGCAGCCACAGAAACAGGCAGTGTCTGCTGGCTTGAGATACAGGAGATCTCTACAAATAAATGCAGCCATGTATTATGCATAATTTAAAAGAAGTTTAATTTCCCTTTTTGTGCATCAGAATGTAGCCATTTTTTAACGGGAGAAGCTATAATCTGCTATAAAAGATTTACGACATTGCTTCAACGCTGGGATGATCCTTCTGTGTTGTGACACTTCCATGTGGTGGAAGAAGTGTAAAATGGAAATTACTAAACTTAAATGTTAAGAAACTGATACACATAAAAATAAAAGAGTGAATATCCATCAATTAATGTGAGATACATTATAAATGTTTCTAAATTTCATGAAAGAAGGCATGACGAAAAGAAAACATTAAATGTTTATAGAAATGCATGTTACACATGACATTCCACAACAGGTAGCTAGCTGGCCTTACACTTGAAGTTGTAACTACAGACACATTCAGTGTTTCATGGTTTCAAAAACACACTGTCTCTACAAACCAGATATTGTTACACATCCATATGTTTTGTACAGTTTAAGAGAGATTGTCACATTGTCATTAGTGTAGAAAGGAAAACAAATGTAAATGGACCATACCACTATATGATGTTTTTATTTGACTAAAAGAGAGTAGAAAATTTTAAGGAAAAATAATTGTATTATTTATCTAGATAAAATTCTCAAATAGGTCTCTAACTCATGGGTTTAAACATAACACAGACTGCATTTCCAGTAAAATTTGTTTTTAGAAATGAGTTCTATATCGTGGGATATAATGCCATATAGTACAGTGAAAGTGAATCGATGTTTTGGAGGAATATATCGTCCCCTTCTTCAGGGTGAAAGAGTAGGCCTAGTGAGAAACCAGCATGAAGCAAGCAGCAAGCGATCTCCAAAACATCTGTTGACTTTCACCAAACTACATGGTTAGAGCTCTTTATAACCATCACTGTGGGAACCTCAAACCCAACATTGTTCTTTGTCTTTTTTCCACCACTGCTCAAGGGCCGCATAAGTATTAGACATATTTTTGTGCCTGATACTTTCTAATTTGAAATTTGCATTACAGACAGTTAATGAAAATGAAAAGATTTGCACATCAAAAGTTTCTCCTGTTTCCACATGATCTCACATGATTTTCAATATTAAATCTTCTTTAACAGAAATCTAAAAAAATGTAAGTTTTATATAACAGTTATAACACTAACACTAATATAACGTAACACAAATATAAGGTAAATATCTATTTTTCACTGAAATTATATAGCCAGGTAAACATAGTACACATAGATAATGCAAATTTTGATACAGTAATGATCAAGAGAGTGTAACATATAGAGGAAATGAAGGATCTAAATCTAAAACAAAATTCTGACACAGTTTAACCAAGTCCCAAAGTTCACTTTCCGAAATGATGAGACTTTTGCTTTGTTTGTTATGTTACAGACAGAACAGGCATTTGGGTGAAAGTGGTTGAAAACATAGCAAAATCGCACAATGTGAGTGAAGAAGGATTAAAACATCAAGATTAACTTCTTACTCACCAGCAAAAATGATGTAAGTAATGGCAACACATGCAATTCAACATGGTAACTATGAATCTGAAAATGTTGGAGATATGCATTTGTTGTACTGTGCTGTTTCCCTTAATGTCATGACCCATGCTCCAATACAAGCTATATCCTTCCTCCTAATTATCTCACTGTCATTATACCAGCAATGTGATTTGTCCATCATTATTATATATTGTGTACCTCAGTTTTATATTTTTATCACTCGATGAATCAGTAAATTACTCATAACATTCATTATTCTGGAGCTTGAAGCAACATTTAAACCTCACATTTATATGAGAGAATCCATCTGTCCAAACTGAAAAATTCAGGACTTCATATTTACAATGAACTTATTGTGGTGGTTCAGAATTTAATCAATTTAAGCAAGAGTATGGATACATTGCTTATAGGCTAAAAGAATACTAAGTTCAAAGCATAATACCTAAATATATTATATACATAAGCTTGGAGAGCTTACAAAGAAATTTTAATTTCATGCTCAAGCCTCAGATTGGTTCCAGTAACCTTAAATAGACCAGCTGTATCATGAAAATGATTCTGTAATCCACTTCATTATATTTGTACATGATATTTAATATCAACTCCACTGGCATCTCCTGTTACTGTGAGTGAACCCTTTAATTACTATTTACTAAAATTCTTTTTTCAACAAATATACATTTCAGTTTATTCATTTGCAACAAAAGCAAAGCATTTTCTCTTTATTTTCTGCATCCTGTTGTGTATCATGCATCAAAGATAAACTCAAGATATATCCCACACAAAACCTTAAATTTAAAATTAAAATTTAGATTATAATATTACTAATAAATGCAAAAAAAAAAAAAAAAATTAACCAATTTTAATAATTCAGTAACTACATATGCAATTCATATAAATCATATGATGATTTTTACAGACTGAAACATATAGTGGGATGAAAATAAAATAACTCAAATATTACACAGCTTAATATCAGTTTATAATTAATTGTTGTGCTGATGGCCCCTAAGTTTACCTTCAAGGTATTTCCCGCCTGGTTGAATAACGATTAGCTCCTTGAAGAAGACCCTGTAATATGCTGTTACTTTCATTTACAACCAAGTTATCCTGCATTCTGTTTTAGTGAGTAATGAACATAGAGAACCATAAATAGTTCATCCACTTAGGTTGAATAAAGACAAAACTATATGAAGTAATATTACAGAAAATATATATTAAGGCTCCTATTCCACCATTATGTATCTTATCTAGTAGTTATGAATACAAGATAGCAGCAGTGAAAGGTGTGCTTGAATTAGTATTACTGTGTCCACCTTTACAAAAGTTTTCATCTAGATAGGAGCACTGCTCAGTGCTTATTGTTATTCTATCAAGTTTAGAATTTAGTAACTGTCTATCTAGAACTTATAAAGTTATTGAGGTTAGAACTTTTTGAAAAATCTGGTTTTAACAACTTCCCATAGAAATTTCAACAGGCTTTATGCTAGTTCTTCTACATGAATTTTGTTTTTTAATCATGACTTACTTGTAGGAATATGAAGGGGAATCAAAATGATCTAAGTCATACAGAGGCCACAGAATCTATATTTCCAAGGAATCTTCGGGAAAAAGAGAAGAAGGGAAAGGACAAAGCCATGTTGTATTATGAAAAAGAATGGTATAAGCACTTGATAAAATTGCAGAAAATAATATCACATCAGTCTGTCAAGCAAAGCAGAATTCAAAAGATGACTCTGAAAGAGATCATGAATAGATCTGTGAGAAGAACAAAGCAATGTGACAACAGTAATTCATGAACAGTACTGTGAAGAAAGAAGCAAAAGAGCAGTAAACAATTAGAAAATAGAGGAAATGGTGGCACTTTGGTTCAAAATTACAAATTTCAGTGCAAAAAAGTTTATGATAATAATTAGAATGATCATCACATTCATATTTAAACACTGTGATATTTCAGAAAATGCGGGACAGATCACTGGATTATAGGAGAGAATTTCCAAAACTGTGGCAACCAGGAAGCCATATATCAAGAAACTTCATATATATATTTTTATTAGTTGACTCCAGCAAAGAAATAGAGTGCATCTCCAACAAGATGATAATTCTTATAAAACTGTTTCCTGAATTAAGTTTTTTATGCAAATCTTAAGTTAAAAGTGATTAAAGAATATTTATTTAATTGTATTATATCAGTCTATATAGAAGGAGAGACAACTGAAAAATGAATCACGCAAAGCACATGCTAATATATTTATTACATTGACAGTGATGAACAAGACAAGAAAATGTTAATATATTTTAATGTAAAAAATAGATGCCCCATTCTTAATACGATACATTAATCAGACAGTGAAAGAATTTATGATAAAGCTGTTATATTTTCAGTTATCTGAACACAAATGCAGCCAAGCCAACATACAACTAGACTTCATATTGCTATTCTCACATACCAAGACTCAGTCCATCTGGAGGGCTTTTAGATGTCCTTGTGACCTTGCAGTCTGTTGGTGTGCGTGATGTGCTGCTAGACTTTGTTCGAACACGTGAATAGTAGTCCTTGTTGGACTTGCTTCCCCCATACCCTGATGTGCTAGGCCGTGGCTGACCTGCATAACATTCCTGTTGACTGAATGTTTGAAACTGCATAGAGTAGTCCATTGTCTGAGTACTGTTGGTGCCACCTCCGCCACCAGGGAGGCTGAATGTTGCATATGGACAGATCTCGTAGTCTTGACCTGGACCAAGTTATGTAATCGTGATCATATTTTTATTATATCACTAGAAGCTACAACAATAATAGAGAACTGTTAATAATTGGCTCTTAAATATTTGTTGGAGTTAATGTATTTAATGTTTATTCCATTAAGTTACACATAATGTACTGCATACTCATTTCCTTTTTCTCCTTTGCACTCAGCACTATGTAACTGATTTCCCAAAAAACAAATGTACCTTTGTTAATGTCATACTTCATTCTTTATGTAAGGTACAGTAGTGTTAATTAACAGGCTATTGATACATGTGACTGTTGCAGGTATAATAACAAAAGCAGTCACAATAATGAAACGTGTTTCTTAATCAACATTAATTAAATCAAGAACATACATTTGGAATGGGGGAAAAATATAGGAATTTAATTCAGTGCAACACTTTCTTCCATAATCCGATCCACATGTTAATCTGCATACCCTGCCTTCAAGTCTACAATAATTACAGGATAAGGTAAGAATTTTTGTGTTATGTGGTAAGAGAAATGAATATACCGTATTTACGCATGTATAGGCCGCGTGCGTGTATAGGCCGCAGCACAATTTTCAGACAGAAATTATAGAAAAAATAATTTTCTTGGAATATTATTTCAGGAGTATTACACCCTGTATTACTAATTATGAATATAATTTTTTTAAATGAAGTGTGATTTCGAATATTTCGAATATAAGCCACACCCCAGTTTTCCTCTTGAATTTTTGGCAAAAAATGTGCGGCCTATACATGCGTAAATACGGTATATAGATTCATTTCCAGAATATTTCCATTTGATAATTTTTTATTGAATTTCAAAACCATTTAGAATTTATCTTTTATTTCATAGTAGTAGTAATAATGATGGAAAATCACAAACTGATATAACAACACATGGCATGAATATGGCTTCCGAGACAAAAGAAATAGAACAAGATATTTTCATAATATTCTGTCCAGTTTTTGCATTTTATATCATATTACTGGCAAGTGTTTACTGTGGTGCCCAAAATAATGAGATGGGGCAGAATTTATAAAAACACTTTGTCCATTTCTTGGTTTCAAAGCATCTTCCTTCTACTGATTTATAAATTTGTCCTTTAGAATTACACTATGATCAACTGTAATCCTGTGCTGTGTTTGTTCCATGCAACACCATATTTAGACAAATCAAGGTACAGTTCTAGCTACAGATTTCTGCCTCTAGGAACACTGATGAGCCTTGCACTAATCATAACTTAGAAACACAAGCCAATAATGACTGTAATAAAACAAACTCTTAATTAATGGCTAGTTGAGGGACTGGCACAGGGAATAAAATACACAAATGTAATCCAAAACAGAAAACCATAAACACACTTGCTACTCTTCACCAATCTAATATTCAGTTTGTAAGGCAGAAGAGAGAACACTGTTCTTATTATAAGTAATAATTAACTCTGAATTCTATGGTTGCCCCAATTTACAGTTCTTCTAACACTGGTTCCAATTGTCCTAATTAAATACCTCCCATGTTTCTTAAAATAAAACATCACCAACTACATATGGTACTATGCTGGAAATCTAGGTAACCCCTCTAGTTTTCAAAATTTTGTTTAATTAGCAAACATTATACCGACCAACCGCCACTTGTCGGCGAAGTTAATGCCAACTTTAGCAGATAGAGGGTGTCACATGGTCAGCACAATGAATCCCCACGACTGTTAATTTCGGTTTTCTAGATCGGAGCCGCTATTTCCTTGACACAGTTCCTCAATTATCATCACGAGGCTGAGTGAACCATGTTCCAGGCCCACTACTTCTCAGAAAAAAATCTGGTAGCACTGGGAATCGAACCTGGACCTCTGGATCTGTAGCCAGGAACTCTAATGACTAGACCACAGAGGTAGTTGGTATAGTTCACTTGTGGACTAAAAACCACGGAGTTTGTTATGTTTTATTAACAAACATTCTTCTATCAGAAGTTATTGCGTTATTGCATTGTATGTAGTATCTGCATGCAGGAGGTCATACGGCAGTTTTGTGAGGGTCAAGTTATACAGGCGCAAAAAGAACTGAAACCCTATTAAAATTTGATTAGTATTCCATATTAACGTCCCCTTTCCTACGTGATAAGGGACTTAAAACATTTGGAAAGTATTTCGTTTCTGTGTTCTAATACAAAGTTTTTATAATGAATAAAACCTTCTTACCACATGGGTGATTGAGACTGTAAGATAATTTACCTGCAAGGAGAATGTTAATTAAGTATTAAAAACTATGACATCTTTTAAAGAAATAGATATGAGGATGTGGACTGGATTGATCTGACACTGGTTAGGGTTCAATGAACATTGTAACAAACCTTTTCTTTTCAATAAAAGCCAGGGAATTTATTGTGACCAGCTAGTCAGTTATTAGTTCCTCAAGAAGGGTCTATTGAATGTTGCAGCTGAATGGGCAGTACTCCTGATTAGTCAGAAAGTTCTGAGTTCAAATCTTACCTGGGAGACCAACTACCGTGACTGAGGTTTTCTCTCACTCTCTACACGCAAATACTAGGACTGTACCTCAAATTAGTCCATGACAGTTCCCTTTTACACCCTTTCCAATTCATTATTCACTAATCATTTTTTCATTCAATGTTATATATCAGTTGTTGACAGATGCTACATAACCCCTAAATAAAATAAAAATAACTGCTTCATGGAGTCAGTTAAATATAATTTTTATTAGTCATGGATCATAAATGAGCATTAGGACATGAAAATTGTAAATGACCGAAAGATGTGTGTGCTGCAATGAACTCTTTTTCATCATCTGTGCAAACCAGTTTTTTGCAGTATGATAACTTAGTGAAAATTGCAGAGACATGTGTTAGTGGAGTGAAATCTGAATGAGTAACAAGAGATGAAATAACAGAAAAATTCAAGAGACTAGTACCAACCAATGAAAGGACTTAAAGAAAGAGGGCAAGGAAGACAGGTGACTGGTATGAAGGACTGAGAATTTAAAGCCAGACATAGCTGACAATTTAAGAAACATGCAAATCTGCATAGACTTTATATGTCAGGAGAAAAGCAAGTGCAGATATTGAGGATGTGAAGGCATTTCCATAGGAGTAAAATATTATTGAGGTAGAAGTATTTTCTTCAAAGACGATTTTCAGGATTGATGAGGTGGGGCTCTTTCTGGATCAGAATGAAGTCTTGAACATTATTTTGAGAGATGAAAAGAAGTGCCAGGATTCGGAGTTTCAAAGGACCATCTCATGCCCTCAAGATTGTTATTACTTAGATTAGTAAGAATTATGTTAAGGTGGAAACTAGTACTATCAAATGACTTTCTAGACCATGGGAATATACTGTAAGCTTTAACATGTAAACTAATACAGATTTAATTCTCATTATATGAGATGTGACTTACGAGCTCCTTTTCAGACTCCTTTTGTCCAAATACCACACCAACATGTATTGCTATGGCCAGTGTTTGTCCTTGCCACTGCTATTCATACCTGAGGTATCACTGCCTTTCTGTCCACTGAGTGACGAGTCTCCCTTCCTTGCAGGGGATGGTGAATAGAGTTGCCCTGACTGACTATGATTTGCTCCTTGTTGGTCATTATTGCGCTGGTTTTCAAGTTCAGCCAAAGACTTTGCTCCATATCCAGGATCACCTTGTTTATAACCTGCATAGTGCCTGTGTCATACAAGAAATGTTATGTCCATTTTCATTCAGTGAGAAGAAAAACTCTGGACTGACAAAACAAAGATATATCCTAAATTTAATCTTTAGAGGGAATCTGTTCATGGTAATTTTAGAAATGAAGTATGTTTGAATTATGCAGTTCTTCTATGGTGAAAATTAGTCATCTAGGATCAGGCCTACTAATAAATATTTTAAGAGAGTAAACAGAATACTTTGCCTCAAGTTATTAGTTACACTAATAAATATTGTGACATGTTTGGAGTAGATACTTCCATGGTAACACAACAGCGAGCCGTTGCGTAGGAATTGCAGAATCAACGAAGCAGCGTTTCCTCGGAGATGAATAACAGAAGGCCGTTGAGTAACAACGGATGAGACAAAACTCGTTACCAGTGTAAACACATGAGATCAAACCTTGGTGAGGGGTGTCGTCTACTGAGTCCGCAGAACACCTACATAAGCCAAGAGCCAAAGACAGCAACACAATACAGTTGGAACCTAGTCAGCATACTATACAGTTGAAAGATAGCCACCGCAGAATACAGTTGAAGTGATAACAATTGTAAGGTGTGTAAGATTGAGTGTCCAATAAAGATTTGCTAAATCCGAGACCCACGTAGAGTTATTTGTCACGTGACAATATAATAACCACATCCATAAGTCTCTCATCATATTCATATAACATAGTAACAATATGTCACACATTATGTTAGCTGAAAAAACTCCTGTGCAGATGTTTTCTAGAACTGAAAATGTGCCACTAATTCTAGCAGCAAAGATATGAACCATATAAATCCAGAACCAATATGTATATCAGATGAATCAAGAAGGAAATAAGAGAAGTCTCTCTTGAGTGGTACGGAACACATTGTTGAATGCTACGAAATATCAGGTATTTCCTATGTTCTTAGAGTATTTTGGGTGAAATGTACAAGTGTTTATTTTGATACACTAAGCAACAAAACCAACAGTAATACTTCTGTTCATCTGCCTGTTCTGTAACCCTATTATAACTTAAAAGAAGGGAACACCTGTGTGAATAATAGATACAATTCTGAAATGTTTGTGTTTGGCAAATTATCCAGGTTCAAATAAAGTTGACTGGGCTTTATTTGCTCTCCCCTCCTCATGATTCTCAGTGATCACAGTCAATGTCACTTTGTGTATATAAACCTAACCTTATACTCACCTAATCATTTTGACAATAATGAAGATGGAGGCATATTCTGAAATGTCAATATCTGCCTAGAAGACTACACTGTGTAACAACCAAGGTCACAATCTGAACACTTATGAGCACCTAATATCTCATATTGTACTATGCTTCAGGTAATACATGAGAATAAATTAGTTATCAAGAACAGTATATGTTCTTGAAAACTTTCTGAGTATACCATCCTTTCTTACATAAAGCACCTGAGTTACCTTCTGTGGATGAAGATGCATACACAGATGGATGCTGCAATGGTACAGATGATTCCAGATATTATGGGGATGATCACATTCAAGTGAGTATAAAATGTACCCTGCTGCTCAGACATGTCTGGTACCATATCTGGCAGGATAGTTTCTGAAAAGAAAAGAAGAAAAAAAAATTACATTCAGAAGACAACCAATTAATGAATATTAATTACTGTTACTAACAATTCCATAATTTGAGAGTTAAGTGTATATTAGAATAAAATGAAATATATTTTGACAATAATAACAGTCCTGTTACATACATTACTTATATTCTACTGTCATTCCATTCAAATCTTGAATTCTCATTCAGAAAACATTTGAACAGTACACTGGCCTACATTTAAAATTTCAAAGTCATTGTTGCAAATTGTCTGCAAATCTCCACCTAACAGTTCTGCACTGCTACCCACCTCCCGTTTTTGTCTTTGTGGCAAAAACAAGTTCCTGAACACTGGACCCAGCATCATTGTGTGCAGCAATCCGCACTGCATACCACGTTGCAGGGGTGAGATCAGGTATTACCAATTCCTCCTGCTGGATGTTGTTCGAAACCAGTGTCCATGTTTTTTGGCTTCGAGAACGATATTCCACAACAAAGTACCGAAGTGGACAACCGCCGCTAGGCCATGCCTCCAGGAACAAGGTGACTGATGTAGAATTTATCAACAGAAGATCATCTTGTACAGGCATTCGGGGAGCTGTGGACATTGAAATATCAGAAGTCATATCTCTTAACAGGAACTGGAAGAGAGGGAGGCAACTTTCTTACAGCTCTTTAGCAAATCACTGCTGTGTATATAATGAGATGCTATTAATAATCACATTGACTTTCCGCATTATATTATTTTCATTACACTTATAAAAGATACTTGGGGACAAGTGGCAGTGCCTTGATCGGTATAGTTTGCCTGTGGACTCAAGCCATGGAGTTTTATAAAAACTAAAGATATTTCACTGCCAGATTTGTTTCAACCCTCTTCATCTATTTTCATCTTGTTTTTTGACTTGAGCAACAATTAGTTATCATACTTACAGAAGAAAAGCTGAACATAATGTGAAGATTGCTGAACAGTGATGAAAGAATCTGATGTTTGGTAAAGAAATCTTTCTCTTACAATGCAAGATTACAAATTATGTTTCCCATTAACACAACACACTGACAATGTCTAATGGTAAGATTTCAGCAGAAATGTTAGTTAAGTTAGTGTAATTGTCAATGAAAAATCCGTCGAGTGTAACGATGTTTTTAGGTCGCTTATTTATCTCACTTGCCTTACATGTTTCGGTTCAAAAGAAACCATCATCAGAGGCACGTATTACAAACACTTGAAAACACTGGCGTTGTTTAATGTACACAGTATGTAAGCTGCGTGTACGCTGTTACAGGTGTCGAAGTGTAAAAGCACAACACTTTCTAGTAGCATTGAATGCACGTACTACTCTTGCATTCCATCTGAAAATTGCCCTCAAGTTGAGCCGTCAATGTTAAAATATTTAAAAGTTTAAAACATTTAAAGTAAAATGTTTGGCTCCTTCTTGTTGATTCGTCCCGATGATGGGAGATGTCAACTTGAGGTTATGTAGGCTTATGGTCGGATGTTTCTTACGCGTTGTNATTTCTCATTGACAATTGTGATTGATAGTGTAACGGACCAAAAATGAAACAATTCAAAATAAGTTAGTGTACTTATTAGCCTAAGACCACAAGATGTATATTCTGATGACATTATTGTAAACATTAGCTCCATCAAAAGAGGGAGATAGTACAGTATATCACTCTGACTACAATCATCAGAAGAAGGAGCCAAAGGTGATATACTGCAAAAACTAGGGCCTAGCTTGTATCATGTAAAGTTAAAGGAGTACGTAAAACTCACACACATAAATCAGATAATAAAATGTAATAAGAAAGAGCAAGCTCCACATAATTTAGCTAAACAAGTGTATTCAAGAACAGCAAGGCCAGAAATATTAATCTCAGTAACTGATTATCTGACTATATAAGGGTAAATCCAATACTAGTTCTGCCTGTTAAGGTAAACCCAAGGTGAGGACATTCTGGTAACAAAAATGTAAACCTGATGCCACTGTTACAAGATCAAATTGAATGTGTGTAGTAATGTAATTGGTTGGTCCATCAGTCCATCTATCTTTAGAACTATGCCTTTGGGAAGGTCTGGGTATGGGCATAAAAACCAAAAATAATGGAACTTGTCCTGGCTGTAAATATGTGGGTAACTTCTATTAAAAAATGAAGAATGTATGTTTGATGTAGAACATATCTCACCACCAGTTCAATTAGAGAACATACACTGAGGTTCCGATGTTGATTGTAACTCCTACTGATAACAGTTCTGGCAGGGTGCTCAGTGTAGGAAGATGAAGTCCATAGGTCCTAAAATAAATCCCTTATGTGTAGAAGAATGTGTATTTTACCTCTAAACCCCACATATACCCAAAATATCACATATCTCTAGTAAGGATGACAGAATATTTCACTTAAAATTACATAAAAATTACATAACAAAACTTCTTGGTCTTCTTGCAGAAATCCTGAAATATTGTACTAGTATAAGGGATGTTGTGTGCATACCTCCTCCCTTAGTGGTGGCTGTGATAACAGAACTAGGCTTCCCATTACCAACTGAGTTCACTGCTGTGAGGAAAAGCTGATAGCTGGAGCCACACTTGACCCCATCCAGTGTGTATGTCTTCCGATCTGGGTCAATGACAACCTCTTGCCAGTCCCCAGATTCTCGCTTATAGCTCAGCGTGTATCCTGCAGAACAACAGAGAAACAGTGACAATGCACAAAATTTTCCTGATACTTAATTGTCATATCAATCTGAATGAGATGGTTTAGCACAAAGACAAATGTAGGCATTTATAAAGACAATGGTGATGATGGGCCTGTGGGTTCTAAAGCAACTGAAATCAGTAGATCAGCAAAATAACAACTAAATTCTCAGAGGAGACTTTCCACCATGAGGTTTTAGTTTACTGAATACTGGTGTCCTAATTTAAATGAAATGCTGTTTGACCTGACACCGTATTTACATAACTATATCCCTGTAAAAATCTGGTCAATGAGAGTCATCATTAGATTTTTCACCATACCTATGATTCAGTATCAATACTACAACATAAAGGGCTACAATAATGACTGAATCACATCTCTATTTAAACATCTGGCTCAAATATTGTATACTTTAGGGCTGTGATGCTGTGCAGTCTGGTAGAAATTACCAATGTTTTGAAGAAATTTTCTACCCCCATCTTCAGGGTTAAAGAGCAGTAGAATCAAGCAGAAAATTAAGCTGCTCACGGCTTGCTTGGCTTACTCTTTGGGCTTCAAGATGGCAACAGTATGTTCCTTCAGAATGTTGGTGAACTGCTTTCAGATGACACATCATCACATCCCAGACAAGAGTACATTTTTATATTCACCACTGTCACAATGTGAAGTTCAATATGATGTCCTATCCTGTCTAAGGTTTCTTAAAGTTTTCCTTGATCACTCCAGTAAATTTGGGGGGGGGGAGAAGTCTAAAATAACATCTCAAGTCAACATTTACTTAATCCTTTATCCTCTCAAAACTGAGATAATGGCTAAGCAGTGTCACTTATAAACATTCTGTTTGTTTAACTTTACTTATTCTAGTCACTAGTTAATTATTATAAATTGATTTGACAACACCATCCAGTGTGATTCAGTATATACTTATATAATGCCTTTGCATGTTTTGGTCAGTTGTGAACATCTTCAGAAGGCACTAACAACATGTTAAGGAACTACTATTACGTATATCATAGTACACATATGTAAGCTTAAAGTTTTGTATAAAGAATTTTAATTAAGATAAATGGTTTTGATTTGTTTCATTCTGGTCCATCACACTAACAATTACAAAGACAAAATAACTCTGTCCAATGTGACTATTTAAGTTTTTACTACTTGAAAACTTAGCACCCTTACATGTTTCGGTCCTTATGGACCATCATCAGGTGGAACATCGATACTTATTCGGAAAATACTATCACAATGGGTGTTCTGAATGCTAAAATACATATACACGTAATGCCTGCAATGCACAATGTTGGATTTTGTGTATATTGTGCATTGCAGGCATTACGTGTATATGTATTTTAGCACTCAGAACACCCATTGTAATAGTAGTTTCCAAATAAGTATTGATGTTCCCTCTGATGATGGTCCATAAGGACCGAAACATGTAAGGGTGCTAAGTTTTCAGGTAGTAAAAACTTAAATAGTCACACTGGATGGAGTTGTTTTGTCTTTGTAAGATAAATGGTGTTTAAGCAAAAAAAAAAAAAAAAATATTATCAATGTTCATAATATTTAAAATCTTGAACCACTGAAGTTTGTATCTCTGTGCCTCTTCTGTGAAAACAGGAGATTGGGGTGTTATTTGCCATCCTCTGAGATCTGGGCAGTGTTGTTCCTCCCACCCCTTTTATATGATTGGCTAAGAATCTGTGTTGTTAAGTTCTTTCTCCCTTCGTTGTGTATTGAGGCATGGATTCCGTTTGTTACTGCAAGATAACACTTATAAAAGCTACTGGCCTTACTGACACATCATTTCTTCACATATACACAGACAGATGATGAGTTTCAGCGACCTAGTAAAGTAAGTGTATAGTTCCTTCCAAAAGTATTTTCATGATCATTTTCTTTAGCACATTACATAAAATTATTTAAATAATTTTCCTGGGGAGTAAAGCGCAGCCGGTGCGTAAGGCTGACAACCTTACAGCCATCTTTGAGCCGATTGTCTAAATAATGTGGGACCCTCAATGTCTCACAACCCTATGGGCCTTCATGGCCTGGTACAGGGCTAGCTTTACTTTACTTTACTTTTTACATTAAACAAAATAATCTACTCACTCACTCACCAATTACTGGACTCCCACCATTATCTGAGAGTCTCCACTGCAGCGATATACTGCGAGCTGTTGTGGCAGGTACAGACAGATGAGGTGGGCCAGGAGGCACTTGCACTGTTACTCCATATGTGACTTCATCTCGACCAAATACATTTTCTGCCAAGCAGGAATAGTTGCCAGCATCCTCAGGTCTAAGCGGACCAAGTGTCACTCCTCCATCTGGGAGTACACGATAATGCCTGTTTCCTGAAGATGGGGTGATGGAATTACCAGACGGACCACGCCAACTACGATTAGGAGCAGGAAGACCTACAGCATGGCATGCCAACGTAATGCTCTGACCTGACCCTGCCACCACTCGTCGAGAAAATGAAGCTATCCGTGCTGGAACTGAAATAAAAAAGAAATAACCATATAGACTCACTACAGCTCAAGCCATAGATTTATGCGAATAGTTATAGAAGTTAATTCAGAACAAAGTGCCTGATAAAGAAATAATGAAACAAAATCAATGGCATCAGCCCTTCCAGTTAAATAACTGAGTAACTCCATGCAGGGTGTCCTTAGAAAGATAATAATAATTCAACTAGCTTACAAATTTCACACCTTTTATGGAACCTGAAAGTCCATTTCTGTATTCATACAAGCTGACACTGGTCCCTGTCCTGAGTCAGGTGAATCCAATCCATGCTCTCCTATCCTATTCATTTAAAATCCATTTTAATATTATTCATCCATTTACTTGTATGTCTATGCTGATTAAGTGGTCTCTTCCCTCTCTCTTGGTCAGAGAATCTGAAGGGAAGAGTACACTATTACAGCTAAATTGACTTAAATATATAATTAAGATCGCAAATGAGACCTTTTTGACTCTTCAATAACAAGCAATGAAAAAGCATTTGTACTTCTGTTTATTATTCATGACTGTTAGGAAATAAAAATCCAGTGGGTTCTATTCATTTATCTATTATATGTTTCTAGATACTGAGATTTTCTGTAAATAGGGGAATATTGAAAGATGTCACTTGGGAGACAACGACACAGATGGGAAGGCAATCGCAGGAGCAGGCTGTGATTATATGAAGCAACTTAGAAAGCTTTATTGAAGTACTTATGAACCTTCACAAATATTTTAAGCTTTCCACCTGAGAGGTGAAACCTCACCTCTGGAAACCGGTGCCTGTGGAACCTTGATGCTGCTCTGTCCCTCCCCTATTATAGTGGAGGCTGTCACCCAGAACTCATACTGCTGAAACTCCTTTAGCCGACGAACTTCATAAGTCAATTCTCTATCACCAAACACAGTCTCTTTGTGTTCATCCTGTTGGTGGAAATCGAATAATATTATTCTTTGCAATGATTAAGATGGCAAAATGGTTATATAATAGTATATACACTCCAGTGTTTATGAAGAGAGTGGAGAGAGCGATATCGGAGGAAGTGCAAGAGGTTAGAAATCACATCTGTGTGGAAATACCAGCAAACCCAGATACATTAGTTTTCTTTTTACTGAGGTTACTTAGTCTAGACCTGGTTCAGATTTTGGAGAAGTAGGTGATGGGAAATAAATTATTTATGAACAGTGCCAGTAGCAGATTAGAGCTGCAATATGAATAAGGGGAGTAAGGCACCTATTGAATACAAGCTTAACACTTATATTCAAATATAATTTACATATGGTGAACAGAAAACTTCATGTAGAAGAGAGGACAGAAATAGAAATGAAATTCATGAACAAAAATTTAGAATTCAAAATCTGGTAACAGAAGAGAAATGATTGAAATGGTTTCACCAAATAAAGGAAAAATAGATATATTTGATTACTGAGAAGGGCAGTAGAATTAAAATTCAAGAAAAGAGAACTATGGGACTGCCTAATACAAGGTAGTTTAAGATGATACTTGAAGATATCAAGAAGAAAGGAGAAAGATTGAAAGAAATCTACTGAGATAGATAATGGGATACAAGCAGAAAGTGGAGCATTTTCATCCACTAACCCATATAAAATTAAAATTATACTACACAAGGAGGAGGAGGAGGAGGAGGAGGAGGAGGTTGCAGAGAAGAAGAGCCATCTTGTAATTTCGCGAGAAGAAGTATAATGGGGACTGAAGAGGAATTCCCTTAACATATTTAACTGTAAGCCTCAGGTATAAAATATAATGTGAATTAATTCAGACAGACTAGCAAGGCTGTATGCATATGCATGGAGAGAGTAGCTGAGGAACACAAAAAGAGTTACTAGATGCCACATCAAGTTTTTAGTCACCTTATTTGCAAACAAATGTAACAAATCAAAATTATAATCAGAAGAAATGAAGAGCATATTCAATCTTGGAATGTTTGCCACTATTAAGTTTGGAATCTTTTGTCTTTCTGTCTTGTGTCAAAAAATGAAAGATTAAAATATACAAAATTGTAATTTTACCCATTCTTTTGTATGAATGTGAATTTTGTGCCAAGTGAAAAACAAAGAGGGACGATTTTTGGAAACAGGGTGGTAAGGACAACATCTGGACCTCAGAGAGTAGGAGATAACTGCATAATGAGGAACTTCATAATTTGAAAATTTCACTAAATATTATTAAAGAACTCAAATAAAGGAAGATGAGTTAGGCAGGGGATACAACATGCATGAGAGAGAGATAAGAACTGCACATAACATTTAATTCAGAAATCCTGAAGAGAACAGACCACTTTGGAGACCTAAGTATATAGGCGAATATAACATTCAAATGGATGTTACAGAAACAGGGAATAAGCATGTTGACTGGACTCATCTGAATCAGAACAAGATCTAGTTGTGGGCTTCATGTTTTAAGAGAAGTAAATTTTGTAATCATTCAATTGGATTTCTTGTCTGAATTTTTGGATTCTATGAGAGTCAGGGAATTTCTTGTCCAGATGCAAAACTATCAGCTTTTTCAAGGAGGACTCTGTTCCATGGAGTTAGCTCAACTAAACTCAGCTCATCCAGAGGATCCCTACATGTGTCACGTGCTGTTTGTAAACATTAATTCTCAAGCTTACTTTGTGAAGCTTTGATTGGTAGTACACATTGTACTTGATAATGTTGCCATTTGGTTCTAGTGGTCTAGTCCAGGCAACCATAATGCTGTCAGATGTCATTGCTAGTGCTTTGATTTGTTCAGGTGGTCCTGGAACTGTAAATAGAACAAACATTCACATAGAATAATTTTTTCACAAAGAAATTCATAACAAGGAAAATAAAACCAGAAGGATGGACAAGGAAAAATCATTTAACAGAGAAACAATCCACAGATATTTCAGTTGAAGGGTATTAAAAATATTTTGTCTCTTCAAACACCAAATCCTAACTTACAGCTACAGCATTTTGTATTCAGTGAGAGGATATTACAAGTAGATCTGTACAACTGTCCTGGGGAACATAATTTCTTTCATAAATCCCAGCGTGAGTTCTTGAGTTGACTTTTAAGACTTCTTCAGCTGTCATTTGTCAGATATTTATAAAAACAATTTCTCTCTTTGATTTTCTATTTTATAAGGTCCCTACTTCCAGTGCTTTCTCTTAAATTTTGCTGGGATATTAAAAACTCAGTATTTTCCAAGGATGTAAAGGTGTTATTGTCTTGCTTCTTTATATCAAAAAGATAGAAAATCATGAATTTTGACAATATACAATACAGTAAAAGTAAAGCTATCCTTGGAACAGGCTCTGAAGGGCATAGGGTTGTGAGATGTTGAGGGTCCCACATTATCTAAACAATTGGCTCAAAGATGGCGTTAAGGTTGTCAGCCTTATGTGCTGGCCAAGCTTTACTCCCCAGGAAAATTATTTAATTAATTCCTGGCACTCATTTCTGTTAGAGGCTGAGTTGACCCCAGGGCCATAGTGTGGCCAGAAGGATTAGGTCAATTGAAAGAAATCCAGTGACCTCATCGGGACTTGAACCCACGACCTTCCGGCTTTTAGCGTAGTGCCTCAACCAACTAAACTACTGCTCGCCCCCACACAATAGAGTACTTCATGTAAATTATCATTTATATATAAAGAGAGCCATACAACAAAGTCCCAGCACTTTAGTCTGTTGTATTTAATCACTGTAGTACCCTGTTTTGATAACAAATAACTATAATTTACACTTTCAAACATGCTAAAACAAGCATAAAAATTTAAAGCCAGTAGCATTTCGCTGGTTCATAAAATACAATTTATGTCTCAAATCTTTCAATGAGAAACACATTTTATTTATTCTAAATCCCTCTACAGCAGAATGTCCAAGCACAAAATAATACAAGACAATATACTTCTAGCCTGGAAGTTCTATAGAAAGTGTTCAATAATCTTACAAATTCTGACACCCTGCATTTTCATGTGTCTCTTACACAGAAGAATTAGGTTCAAGGGTTGTTAAAAAAAGTTTTTTTAACACAGAAAATTTTAAATTCAACTGTAGTCAAAGTCCTCAATGTTTTTAATATCTGCAAAACAACGTACCATTGCAATGCAAGAGATAATAAGGATGTAATTTTTGTGTTTATTAGAGTCTTTCAAACTAAAAGCATAACAATGAATATCAATTTTGTGTGGCTTACCATCTTCCTCTGTGGTACAATGGACTGAATTTGATCTGACTCCTTCACCAGCTGCAGTAAAAGCCAGCACTCGCACACTGTAGTTGGCAAATTTCGCCAGACCATGCAAATTTGTCTCCAGATTTGTTGTCTTCTTTATTTCTACATCTGATGTTAAACCTGGAAGGTTGAATAACTTATGCAGGCTGGAAATTTGAACTTACTAGGTACTGTAAAATTATGTCATATATTACTGTTGTGTAGACAGAAACTTTTGTCATCTCAGTCTTGAATTTAACTTGCATCTGCTATATTTCATGTGAGTTGTTGGAAACTGTGTCTGAGTAGACAAAAAGTTTGGTAAGTAAACAACAAACATTCCTGTGCAGTATCTGAGGTTCTCACAGTTTTGGTCGTGAAGAGTTCTATCTTCTGGGAGGTAATATCATGCAATCCATTAAAGTCAACTGACGTTTCACAAGAAACAAGTTGCCCCCATTTTTAGGGTGGAGGAATAAGCTGAGCAAGAAACCAGAATGAAAGCTCTGCTTGCCACCTGCTATCACTCTGATTTCTTGCTCATATTATTTTGACCCTGAACATGGAGGTGACATGTCCGTCCTAAACATCGGTTGACTCTCAATGGACTACATGGCGTTATATCCCAGAAGATAGACCTCTTCAACAAGTATCCATATTTATGACATGGATTTTTTGGTTTCTGACTGCAGATTCACAGATATTACATTCAGTGATATTTTACACGAATAATCCTGACACAGAACTGGCATTTTTCTTATATTTAAATTTACAGGTACCTTTCAAAATTCAATTTGATCATATTTCTTTGTCATATACTACTCTATAGCCCATTCTTCAAGTACTTTCTTTTTTCTGCTTGCAGCTGTAAATAAATTCTAAATTCTTTCTAAATTCTGCAGACAGTCTTTTTGAAGTTAAAATCTTGGCTTTAATGTGCACGAAGTGGAGAATACTGGTACTTCATTCATAATCCCTTCCAAAGCAGAAATTCAGTAGCAGAATACCTGCACATGTGATCATTCATTCAGATACTACAGCATGCACACATATGTGCACACACATAAGCACACGTGCATGCACACCTTATACAAGGTTTCAGGAAATTAAAGCATTTTGTATTTTAGAATTTTTAGAATGAAACTGATAGAGAACTCAAATCTATTTGTTGAGGAGGTTTACTGGGGGGCCTTACTGGATTTCACTTGAAAATGGCATGAACTGTTTTCCACATGAATTACTTATAACTTTAAATTATCAAAATGTGTATTGTAAGAAGCAAACAGACATTATAAGTTTTTGCAACCCTATTCAAGATATAAATTATGCTTCTCAGGTTCAGATTCTGGTATTCTGTGAACACTAAAGATGGAGGCAGCTAGTTCATCTGCAAGACATGCCAGATATGAGGCTTGTAAAATGTGGGGTAGATAGTTGAGATTCTCACCTCCTTGACGACTGATATGCTTGTACAATACTTTGTAGCCCTCAATGACTCCATTGCGATGTTCAGGTGGTGGTGGGTCCCACCTTACTCGTACACTCTGTGGGGACACTGCAGAGCAGCGTAAGTTTTGTGGTGCCATGTCTGGAACTATGATAATCAGCCATGAAGATATATATCAAATGCCAAAAACTGAAGATTACAGATGGTTCTGCATGTAATTTGCTGTTATATAAAAGTTATTCAGTGCAAGATGAACAATATGTAGGTTTAATGAAACTAGCATGTAAATCATCAAGCTTTACTTACAAACACAGTTTAAGATTAAACGTGATAAAAAGGGGCAGTTACTTTCTATATTTCCCACAAGACTTCTTCTGGCCCTTAAAAGTGACTGAAGAAAATGGGAGAAAGTAGTTTATTCTCTCTGTTACATAACTCATACATTTATACTTTTATTTTAAATTAGACATTTTATTTGACTGCATTGAGCAAGATATGTGAATAAGGCAAAGTTATCATTTGGATATTTATGTTAAAACAATTGGAAATATTTTTTTCATACATTGTTCCGACTGTATAGAATGAAATGCATGTATAGTAGACAAACATACATATGTTTGCAGTGAAATACAATAATCAGCCACCCATCAAAGTCAAAATACTAATAAATCACTTTGCATGACCATACTTTGGGTCAATCACTACATTTCACAATTGGTTTCTGCTCCTACGTAAACCCATCATTGCTGATTTTCAACTTTATTGGTCTGCAGGAGTAGATAGTTGGTTCTCTGAAATAATATGACAGTTAAATTCTTTGAATATGTTGCAACACCCAGGAGATTCTGCAAGAAGAGGATTTATTGTTGAAAAAAAAATGTTCAAGCTGACATGTTCGTAACAAAAGAAAACCACGACGTTTCTTTTTGATCCAACTGTGAAATACACAGAGGATAAAGTACAGGAACTGGTTGAACATGGTGTGCAGTCATTCTCTGTATTAATGGTTATCAGAAAAACAGAAAGACATGCAATATTTACCTACCACCCTCCAGTGTTGTCACAGATTGTATGGGTGAGGCAGGGCCTGACCCAACCTGGTTGAATGCTCGGACTGTCACCTCATAACGGGTGAAATGACGCAGAGAGGTTAGTGTCACCTCTAAGCGGCGTCCTCTGACAGTGCGCACTTGTTGTGCAGCTGTAGATGGTGCACTGTTTCCCGATGCCTCCCGATACCCCACTTGATATCCCAGGATTTCTCCATTGGAGTAACTCACTAGGGGGGGCTGCATCCAGAAAGAGCAGGATACAGTATGTATGTGTTTTGGGTGTCAGTCATGGACGTATGATTTAGTTCAAATTGTTAGACTATATCTTCATTAATATGCTTTAATTATATATTGTCACTTTGCATTTAATGAAGTTTGTTTTTTGGTTCATAAGTATTGTACTATGGACTAAATACCAATATGATGCACGTTTATTTTGTCTGTAGGCATTTTGAATTCTGATATCAAAGAGATATTGAAATGACAAGAAGACAAAAACTCATAATTGCGCAATATAATGGAAATGTTGCAGAGAACAAATGCATGATAATATGAAAATAAAATGGAAAAGCAGGAAAGTCAAATAAAAAAAAAAAACTAAGATGAACAAGAAGAGGACTGAAAGAGGAGGGAACCAAATCAGAAAACATGTTGGGAAGAAAGGATATACACATAGATGAGAGGATGTGGGAAAGTAAACAGAGTAAAAGTTTTCCTTTCTCAGCATGGAGCAAGAAAGAAATTAATTTAGTTATCAGTTTATTACTTGTTTCATCAGATTGCATAGATCAGTGCCCACATAACATCAGGCAAGAGACTCAGCAGAGAAGACAGGTGGCCATATAAAGTACTGTCCTCAAAAGAGACAGATGGTCAGTTGAAGCATGCATATAGAAACATTTTCATAAATAAATTTATCTAACTCATGTAATTAGAAATAATTCTCACCTTCCATTTTACCAGAAGTGACTCTGGACTTGTGGCCTCTACAGTGACATCTATTGGTGGACCACTGGGAGCTGTGCCAATAGAATAAACAAATCTATTAGAAACCGATATGTTAAATGACTCCTTGAAAATCTCATCACTTCAATATTTCTCACCTTCCTGCAATGTTAAGGCAAGTGTGGGCTCACTGGGAGGCCCTGCCCCAACTTCATTGACAGCCAGCAGTCTCAGATTGTAGGATGTGGCAGGTCTCAAAGCACCCAGTTGAGCCTTGCGGATACCGCCTCCAACAGTAACATTGTTCCATGAACTCATGCCTCCGCCGAGGGTTGGCGCCTCTTCACGAAATTGTACTACATAGTGAGAGATAGGGGCATGACCTGAGTATGGTGCCCCCCATGAGACACTCACCCAGCGACTTCCCACCTCCTGCACCTCCACCCTTCCTGGGGCCTCTGGCGGCTCTGAAATGATCACAAAGGAATCACCAAGAGAGTTGTATGACTTCAGACACATAGGAAAAGAACAAATAATGGTACCTGACAGTTAACAAGTTGAATGTATATGTCGTATATGCAGATTTCAATGTTACTCTTACAGGTTAAACAAGCAATTACCATGTGCTGATACCAGGTATTATAATAAAATAATAATAAGCAAATAAAAGGAGCTATTAAGTTCTATCCAAATTCTGGGATATATTTTCTTCTGCCTACACTGAATAAACTTGGAATATAAGTATTTCTTACTAGTCCAGTGACTGACGCTCCTCTTATATTTTGGGATATCCATAACAAAATAACATTTGAAACTGAATGTGGATACAGCATATTTTTTGGTCATGGAAAAGTATTTTGTTCATGTATTCAGCCATAAAGAGCTTTTGAATGAGAATTATAGGAAGAAATATTAGAAAAAAGAAATGCAGCAAATTTAAGTGGTTGTTGCACAGGTACAACAGTAGAACCAGCAAATCAAATTGCATTAAATGAAAATTATGCAACTACAACATGAAATAAACCACATTAATATCATCACACTCCAGTGACTATGCCACATTCACAACTTATTTTACGTATTTAAGTAACATAAATATCTTGAGTAGAACAACCAGTATAATAGAAGGTTAAAGATAAAGTGAATTGAAAAAGAATTCTGACATTCTGTTCACCATTTAACAATATGTTGTAATGTAAATTTGGTACCTTAGAAAATCATCAGAAAGTAGCATAATTGACTGTAGTTACAAACATAGTTTGTAATAAGCAGTGTGGAAAATGTAATTATAATAATAATCTGACAAATATAATTCTGCAAACTGTATAAACTGAATTCTCTCATAAAGTAATATTTTAATACTTATTAGCCTATTCTTTGTGTAGCAAGAAATGTATTCTTGATATATAGGGCAAAATTATTGAGGAATTTTATGTCAGAATTCCCCACAGTTCTAAGGAACACATTTGTGAACTACAAATTTCTCAACAGAAAATGATTTTCATCTAGAGCGCCAATCTCCTGCTCACACACTCCCCCACATGTATCTCCTGCCACACATTAGTCTACACTTTATGGAGTTCTGCTACAAACATATACAAATTACACACAATTCATGTGGATATGATGGTCACCTTTGACTGTGAGGTAAACTATCATCTCATCCTGACCAAAATCATTGGAAGCTGAGCAACGGTATGGACCAGCATCTCTTCGAGCCAAAGACTCCAAATGTAGTTCTGCTGTGACTCCATGGGGTGTCTGTCGCTCCATAATCTGGGTGTGGCTGGGGCTTAAGGGTCTGTGAGATGCTGACCATGCTACATGGAGGGGCAGGTCACCTTCTGCTTCACACATCAAAATTATCTCTTCTCCTGCTACGCCACTTTGGTTTACTGCCCGTGACCTAAAATGTGCTGGAACTAAAACGAATATTTCGGAGAATGAAGCCTAATGAAACTGGGGTGTAAATGATTCTGTAAAATCAGTAAATATATATTTGTATCTGAATAAGCAAAACTTGTCTGTTCAGAGATATAGTAACGAAAAAAACAACAAATATTTACTCAAAATATTATGTTAATATAAGGGTTCTAAAAATGACATCCATAAGTGCATATTTCTTTGCCCTAAGTGTATACTGACCATTAACTCTAAGAAAAATGACCTTGCTGAGCCCTGAACCAATACCATTGCTGGCCTGACAGGTGTAATGACCTTCATGTGATGGGTCAACTGCCCTAATCAGCACCGAACCGTTGCCTGAGATGACAAGTTGAGGACTAGATTCCAGTGATGTATAGTCACCAGGTTGTTCATCTGGGGGGGAAAAAAAAAATGTAAGAGTTTAGCAACTTACATATGATTCTGTTTCCAAATTCTGTACTTGCTAAAGATCTTCAAGCTCACTGTACAACATGGGTTTATGTATTGCAATTACACTTACATGCCCATCAGTTTTAATGTGTTTAGTTTTCTATCAAATGTCAACAAATTGATTTCATTCGGGTCAATGCAAAATGTAAGATTTAGTCTTATTATTATGGTGTAACCAGAGGAAGAAGCCAAGCAATAACTGATGATCAGTTCAGATATCTAGAAAGCAACACCACTAACCTTTGGCTTTCATCCATGTTATAGTAGGCGTTGGAAATCCACTAGCTTGACAGTGCAGAGAAACAGGATGCTGGAATAACACCGATACATCCTGCGGCTCAATCAGCCATGTTGGAGCCACTGCAACACATATATTGCTCAAAATTGTTATCGAAAATCAATTAGATCCTGCTTTTGGGTGATGGAACTGCAAAGAAGTGGATTATATTTCTGATATTTGAAAATTTTTTTTTTCAATATTCAAGAAAATATGACTGCCCCATGGGTTTCTATTCAAGAGGTGTACAATTCGAATCACAGCCAAGATGCTGATGATTGTGACTAAGGATTTGTGTGGATTTCTTCAGTCTCTGCAGGCAAATGCCAAGATAATATGTCAAATTATTACATGACTGCTCCTTTCCACATCTTTTCCAAATCATTATTCACTGATCACCTTCCAATTCTGTGCTATACATTTAGATCTACTGACAGCATCATTAAATAATCCTTAAATAATACAACAGAATATCCTATGGCTCTTGCAATTTTTAATAGTACACCATTTGTGCAGTGAGCAATAGACATTAGGAAGCCAAATAAAAAGATAAATGATTGAAGGACCGTTATATTCTACTTTCTACTGGCTAGCTACATCAAATAACACATATGCATAAGAAGATCAACAGGTTACTAACTTCACCTTGGAGAAGGAGACAATAAAAAACTCAGCAATACAGCCTGCCTATATATACCGAGATCACCAAAAAAATAAGATCGACATCGACATCAAACCGCAGCAGAAATCTAAAAACATTAATTTGTACTGAACTGTCAGATTCATTATGGGAATAATATACATGACAGTATTCATGGATTTCTTTAAGATGGACACTGAAAAAAGACAATCTAATACAAACTAGAATGACTGAAACATGAAGTAGCACATACCCAAATGAATTACCCACACATAAAAATGATATGACTGAAGAAAACTGAGTCTGATGTTGGAACTGTCAGATTTCTTGTACATTCTGTAAGAAAACCTTACTGAAGGGGAGGGGGGAAAAAAACCCTAGATGGATTTATAATTACACCAACAGTGGAAAATTATCATTCATCAGAACCTGAACCTATATTTTCTGGTCAGGTAGACAGATAGAACTCCTGAGCTGTGTGGTGACAGATCCTAGTTGACAATTTCTCACTTTCACTTTTATTCATTCCTACAAGAAGACCAAGTTCTTTGCCTAGAACAGGGATGCTTTAATTATCAATGCCTGAATGCAGTGAAATTCACATTTAAGATTTCTTTGGGGAGCAGTGGATCTGCATACTAAACTAAGGAAAATAGTAAATGGGATTATTGATTTTGGATCATTGAAATTGAATAAGGAAAAACCTTAAACTGAGAAACATTGTATGGGGTTCCATTGTATACAGTACCTAAGCCTTTATAAAGGAATAATAATCAAGTTAAGAAATTTAAGCACTCTTATGTAATTACAAAAACTGCGAATGGATTCAAGTCACACCCAAGAACTCCACTGCAGTACTTGCATGCTGCAAACACTGAAATAATTATGGGGTTAATTTCGTAATATTCTTGATTGTTCTGTATTAGATCCCCAGCAAGAAACAGAGAAGTTACATTTTTGTATATACCAGATAACTTAGAGTACCTGTATATTCTATGATAATGAGAAAGGGTAATTACTTATTCCACTTGACATTTTCTTTGATTTCTCATACATGTTATTGTGACACACCATATTTATGTCTTTTATTAAAAAATGAAGTAAATTTACTGTCTTATCAATATGCAGAAATAATAAATTGCAATAAAATATTACCCTCAAGTAAATCTCTATCATTTATACATTAAGAGATGAAGTATTTTCCTAATGTTGCTGATCAAGTACTAAGGAAGGGGCAATTCTGATAATACACAGCAGTGAAATATGATGGGGAAAAGTTTAATCAATTCATTTATGACTTTCTTTTTCATATTCTCATTCCTGAATAATAATATATTGTTACAATATTTCTAAACATGGGAATAAATTATTATATTAATTTTCCTTAATATAAAGGTGTTACTTACTATCCCCTATTTCTACTACCACACAAAAGGTATTCTTTGATAAATCCCTGCATGTCTTAAGTACTGCATCACTCCAGCACAGTGTTATGTGTAAATTAAGAACAGTATGACAGGTGACAGAATTTATGTGCAGAAAGAAGGTGGATGGATAACCATATCATGATGTACACTTCTGGAAACTTGTACCTCTAACAGTGAGCTTGGCAGTGTAGTTCGCCACAGCTGCTGCATTACTGGCAATACAAGTGTAATGTCCTGAATGTCGGGCAGCCAGATCACTGAACAGCAAGTTGCTTACAAACTGATGCTGTTGTTCCTGCACATCTGCCTCCTGAGGCAGTGGACCCCCATCTTTGCGCCATGTGATTGTAATGGGGAAGTCCCCAGAAATTATGCTGCATGAAACCTGTGCTCTCATTCCTTCCTGTAAGTTGTTGGGGAACTGGAATGGTGCTATCTGTGGTGGTTCTGTGAACAAACCATGACATCTTTATTTTTGCAAATGTACTACTGGTGCTTTATGGCTTATTATAAATGAACATTTTTATACTTATTAGTTCTGTGTTCGATTAACTGTGATTATATAAGGTTATTTTTATACCACATTTTCACCAGATTTCCTTTCTCTCAAGCATGGCTCTGTTTATTCATGAATGTATAATGATTAGAACATCAAAAAATGAGGAACTTTGTGGTTTATGAGAATCATCTAACATTATTAAGATAATAAATTCTAGAAGGGTACAATCAACAGGGCACATAGCTGGGATGGAAGAGGTAAGGAATAAAACATCGAAGGGAAATATTTGTCTGAATGACCACTTGGATGGTCAAGGAGATGAGAATATAATTTTTAAGGTATATCTCAGGGCGATAGGCAGGATCATGTCCAACACAAAGACTTGGTATTTGTGGTTCTGCAATATCACGTTCTACTGCCAGAATGTTAGTTTAATATCTGGATGTTTAAAAGTTATACTACAAGGACAATACCAAAGTAGCGGGATGAATGAATGAATTGATGGATAGGTGGACGTTATTTGCCATTCTACAGTGGAAGTTTATATATCATTTGTTCTTGTAAAAGTTCCAGTTTGTTAATACAACAAAATAAAATGCAAGTTATGAAAAGAAAAAAGAATAAAGTAAAGAGGAAAAGAAATTCTCGGCTTCATAATTGTTCTGTTATATAGCAATGGTACTTCCTGTCACTAATATACCAATTTTGAAAGATAAATTAGAAACCTACCTTTACTGAGTTAATGATATTCCAGATCTTTTGTTTATTCTATAATTTTGTTTCCTTTTTAGCTACATTTATAATGTCAGTGAAACTATATATTTGCAATAAAGTATTAATTTCTTTAGATTATGAAGTTAACATCCAAGGTTCATTCTTAGAAAACAATCTATATTATATCATAAATATTTGTATTATCACATAGTGTTTATAATCAGTTCCCACAATTTGCTTGTAATCTGTATTCCGGATACATACTCATGACATCAAGGTAGAGCCTGCCATGGGCTGACTGCCCTTGCTGGTTGCTGACAGAACAGGAGTATTCTCCTTTGTCAGTAGCACCTTCAATCTGTCTGACAAGTAGCGTGCCATTGGGGAATACTCTTTGTCTGAGATGAATGGGCAGAATATCTCCAGCACGCTGCCAAGTCACACTGGAAATGGGGAATCCTGCCACTGGACAGCGGAGATACACATCCAGACCTGCTACCACTGTCAGATTCTGTGGTACACGGGCAGAAGGGGGCCCTGCAAAATGTCTACATTGGTTTCACTGAAGTACAGGTTCAGAGAATTATGATTAGGAGACACAGACAATATAAAGTAGACTTGTATCTTGACCTGTTATGACTCCAGATGTCTATGAATGACCTATCCATCTCTTTAGCCCTTTGAAGTCTGACACTCCCTTAAACAACATTTAAACATCCAGTTCTCACCTGCATAAATATGTGAAAACTATTAGCATATAAGAATGACATAACACACGTGATTAGATATCTCACAGAAATAACAGATCCCAACTGACACTCATGTCATTATGATGTCTTGTAAATGGTACGCAGTGAGTCACAAATGTCATGTGTGTGTATTTACTTTTCTAGACAGAGCTAACTAACCGTAGATATTAAGCATGGCAGAGTGCTGGACAGCACCAAGGACATTTCTGGCAATGCAGGTGTATAGGCCGCCATGCTGTACACGAACAGATGAGATGTTGAGGTGGCTGATGACATTGTTTGCAGAATCCAGGTAGCTACCTAGGACATAGCCCCGGGGTACGAGCAAACCCCCATCAAGGAGCCATGTGATCCGTGGTGGGGGATTCCCTGAGGCAGAGCACCTCAGTGACACTGGCGGACCTGGCTGCAGGGTCTGTTCTATGAAGGTCAATTGTAGCTCAGGGGCTATGGCTGTAACAGAGGGAAATGAAAAAAATTGTGCATTTTGGGAATTTAGGGAAGGAAGAAGGAAAAAGGAAAGTATAGGAAGGAGAGGGAAGGAAGAAGAAAAGTAAGGCTAGCATGGAAGAGAGAGAAATGCAAATAATGAAAAACAAAGACGAAAGTGATGATAATGTTGTCATCATATTCCTCTCATTAACAGCTTTTGAATGAACTGGATGACTTTCACGAAATTCGTTACCTCTTCAACATCTTCGTCCAGGAGGACTGAACTTCTGAAATGAAGCTATTCAATATAGAATCTTGATATTCTGTGTGATAATACACATTATAAAATAGAGATCCATAATGTGACAATTTTTGTACGCAGTGCAAAATATGACATAGCAAACACTCAGAAACTGTAATTAGCCCATTTTTTCTTATGGTGATAACTGATAAACAGTCAGGAATATTAAATTACATATGTAAATTGTTTGAATACAAATATCTAAACAAACATGAGACTTCAATTTTTGTGGTTTGACACAGATGCACAATATGAAGCATGTTCCATTCTTATCTTCACACGATGCGCTCTGTTTACACAACTGGGGCCCTTGACACTGATGTTTGATGGTACAACTATTATGTCTGCTATGAAGGAAATTACACTATCAATATTTACATTAATTTAATCAATGTTAATTTTTAATGTTTATTTAATTTTTTAACTTCTTTAATTACAAATAACCAATGCAGTTGAATAGATTTAAAACTCAATATGTAATCTTCTGTGGTAAGTAAGCTATGCACCTCATTTAGTGTTTAGTAAATTTGAACTAATCTCTGAAAGGAGGCACAATAGATCACTGTGGTTGTGGCACAAGGGCCAAGAAGGCCTACCCCTTATACATTCATTCATTCAATCTATGAAATGGAAAGTTCAGTTGCCATAGTGCAAAACACTGAGGAACCTAGCTCACCTCCCAGGGTGAGTTCAGCACTGCCTTGGGCACTTTCGTCATTGCTGCGTGCCACACACTGGTACATTCCACGGTCTGACTTGCGAACGTTTTTGAGGAGCATCACCTGCCCCTGCTGCATGATGCTGACATGGGGGCTGTCCAGTAAAGGGCGCGTGTCTTTCAGCCATGAGATATGCATGCCTCCACTGCCCCCCTGCACAGAGCAGTTGAACATGGCTGGGGTGCCCGCATCCACAATCTGCTGCTGTGGGCGGATGTGGGCTGTTATGGGTGTGATCACATTGAGTGTGATCTCACGGCGGTCCTCACCCATCATATTGCTCACTACACATACATAGCGCCCTCCATCCTCTGGCTGAACACGCGGGAATTGAAGTACGGACTGCAGGGGACGTACAAGCACCATACCCAGCCGCACCTCCTGTAGCACCCCATCCAGGTCACGGTACCATCTGCAAAAAGAGTGTTCAACATCAATATCGCCTTACAAGTGGCACCCACAAGTAGACAGGACTATGCAAATATCTGCTGAGACTCTGACTGTATGTTTCATAGCAATATTTGGTGACAAGTCAACTGCAACAGTGCCTACATGGAACCTGCAGCCAGGTAGTCTTATATCTAATCAAGTGTCAATGTTGAAGAAAGTCGTCTTCTGGGTTTAGGCACCGTGAATACACTTCTTCATTGTCATCGCCGTGAAAACCTCAAAACTTACAAAGTGTCAATGTTGTTTTAATTCTCTTTGGTTAGTACAGGTAATACCTTCTTCTATGCAGAAATAAGTTTCTTCGTGGAACAAGGCATTGAAAATGTTATGTACTTTAACTGACATTTTCAGTGTATTTTCTTCTGACAAAATTAAATTATATTGTACATTTTGTTAATATATTTTTCAATGTACCATTACTGAATATCTCATTTTAGAAGGATTAACAAAAATTTGGGATAAATTTACAGAATGTAATGAGGTGAACGTGCAATGCCATATAGTATTACAGCTGTAAATTTCAGATAATGGCTGTCCCATGCATATTGCAAGCATGTGGTGGCTTTTATGTGACAGACCTGTAGTTGGGAGGGGGAGAACCCTGAGCAGCACATACAAGGTCAGTAGGGCTCCCAGCCCGGGAATTCACATTAGCAACAGAGTGCTCAATCCTAGGTGTGATGTTGCCTTCAGGCTCTGAAACAGTGCAGCAATAAAAATAACAATAAAGCTGATATAACATTCATCAACAAGAACTTACACAGCCATACCAGTAAACAATAAAAAAATTTAAAGATAATGAAATATACTGAGCTCACATACGAGATTAAGGACATGTAATATCAAACTGAATATTTAGATTGAACATCATGTGAAGTGGACAAAACTCCTATTTTGTAATAAAGAGCTCCCAGGTTTAAATCTTGTCTTGGAGATCTTAACTGACATATTTTGTGGGAGTCTTCAGTCCCTTCAAACAAATGCTGGTCACTTCAGTAGGTGACGGTCACGTCCTTCAACATTCTACTTAATTTATTATTCACTGATAATTCTATCACTGGATACTACATAATATGAAGAGTAGATGGATTGGTAAATAAGCCGAGGCTAAAAAGAATGAATTCCTGATAATAAAAACAACAGCAAATGAAGTCATACCCAAAGATCTAGCAAAATATTTGATAAAAGTATATCTGTACTTCAGACTACATCAGATCCCAAGAAACCATTCAACTAGACATCTGTGGCAAGTTCAATGTAAAATGAAAACAGTTTCCAAACTTACCCATACATGGTACTAATGTCATGTAAGTTCTTGTGGTACATGTATGAACGAAGCAGAAATAATTCCTTAGAGACTGAAGAGGCACACCAGGTATTTGAGATTCCACATGAGGAAACATCTTATTTTCTCTGAAAGCTTTTGTACCCCCTGTTAATTCTCATTTCACCAGCGGATCCATATTCATTAAGTATCCTACAAACTTACACTATATAGTCTCAATACTGACAGAGTCAATAAATAACAGACTGAAAGAAAAAAAGCAAACATTCTCAGGAACATCTACATGAATGCAGTAACAGTTTCTCCATACCAAGAACTTTGAGTTATGGAGACACAGGTTGATTTAGCTCCTTCTGACAACTGAACGCAAATTTATACAGGCTAGAATGAAAGAGGGGTGAATAGGGGAATATGAAGATAAAAGAGAAAATGGAAAGACGGTGGAGGAGAACATGAAGGAGGAAGAGAAGCAGGAAAAGAGAGAAAACGAGATGAGAAAGTGAAGGAAGAACAGAGAAGAAGAAAAATATGAAGTAGAATGAGAAAGCAAAGAGGAAGTAGAAGAATACGGGAGAAGGAGAAAGATTAAGGAAAAATGATTGGAAAAGAAAATTGAGAAGAAGTTGGGGAGGAATGGAGAAGGATAAAAAGGGTAGATGAAGGAGAAATGAATGAAAATAAAGAGAAGGAAATGAAGAAGGGTAAGATGAAGGGAGGAGAGGAGAAATGGAAAAGACAGAAGGAATTAGGACAAAAGAAGGAGAAGAATATGAAGGGAAAGTAGGAGGTAAGGCAACAAATTCACTGTTTTTAATGTTATCTCTATATCTGTTTAAACAAAGTCATGAATGTAATGGGAGTACTGTATACTCCAGTTTATACGCCCTAATGAAAGGGACAGTACATACGAATAATCGGAAAATACGGATAAACCAGGGTTCAGACATAATCGGGAGCCAATTGAGAATGTTCGATACAGATATTCAGAAATGTACAGTACACACCGTCCCATTTGTTCCATCATCTCCACAAATGTAAAACTTCTGGAAAAAGTGTTTGATTCGCATTCCTCTACAACTTTTGATCGGTGGACTTTTCGCTCGACAAACATTTAGCGAGATAAGCTTGAGATACGAGCGGTCGTTAAAGACATTCGCTCAAAATGATAATTAAGATGGCTCAACAATTCTTCGTAAAGTTCTATAGCGTCAAGTGGCTTGAGTATATGGCCAGCTGTTCTCATGTTTCTTCATGGGTACAGAGAGACGGTCAAACTGAGCTTACTATTTAGTAAGAGCTCTGTAGGTTTGCAAACACAGCTGAAACATGCAGGTAAGATCTAGGGAGTGCAATCTGCGCATGGATAAACAGGAGTATAACGTACTTCTTCCCGGACACTAGCATATGGAGGAAGAGCAACAGAGGGAATGTTTCCAAGGGAACCAAAACATATTGTTGCCACTCACGGCTAACAATGATCTGCCCTGGCATGCTGAGTCTCTTCTCTCCCGTCAGGCGGTGTACAGTTTGGCAGTAGTAGCGCGCGAACCCATCGTCTGTTACAGTGTCCCTGATGTGCAGGGACCCTGAGGCTGTCACAGTGAACCTGGGGCATGGAAACACACAGTAACTGGATTTGACTGATTATAATTATGTACGTTTAGAAGGCAATGGACTGCATCATTCTTAGTTTGGGGCATAACTGTCTTCGGTAGTGCAGGTTCTGTTTTTAAAACTCGGAATTTACTCAGTCACCAGCTCAGGCAATTAGTCGCTGGCTTCCCACCGAGGCGGTCCGTGTTCGAGTCGGGCCATGTGGGATATATGGTGGACGAAAGTGACACTGGTGCAGGTTTTCTCCGAGTACTTCGGTTTTCCCTGCCAATCCTCATTCCACTAATTTCTCCACAATCACCATCATCTATCATCTCGGGGCTGGTACAATAGGCCAATAGTGGCCACAGTACCAAGTGGACTCAGTCTTACCCAGCTAATAATAATAGTACTCAAAGACCAAGAATTCCCTCTCGTTTATGGAACTTGAACGTTATTGCCATATTAAAAATGGAGAGGGAGTGACCATATATCCGCGTGCTTTATTTACAAAACCACACGATGGCACTAAGGATTTACACTAGTAGTTGACAGATACTGAGCACAATGGCTTGGCCATAATGATTTCGGTTGGCGTTCGAGAGGCGCCCGGCTTCGAATATCGGTCGGAAAATTGGTCATATTGACTGCGGCTCTTCATTACGTTTCTCAGTCCCTCCTGACAAATTCTTTTTTTCTTGGCACTACAGCCGCAGTGGGCCTAGGCCTACCTCCATGAACTTCTCCTTTCACTTCGGCTTTTCCAGATCTTACACATTCGGTAGGACTCCTTGGGCGGGTGATCAGCTCGTCGCAAGGCCTCTACCTGTACACAAACACAGAAAAAACGCACACACACAAACTAAACATTCATGCCCTGAGTGGGATTCGAACCCACGATCCCGGCTTCCGAGCGAGCGAAGACAGTACATGCCTTAGACCGCTCGGCTACCGTGACCGGCTCCTCCTGACAAATGCCGGAAAAATAATCAAATTAGGACATGACCGCTTCCTTTGAAACCTTTCCACTTTATTATTCATCAGTCAACCTACCATTCATGCTGTATATCCTAGATCACTGTTTCTCAACCGCCGGGCCCTCGTTTTACAGAAAAAAGAATTTACCGGGCCGCGGTCTCACAAAGGTTGAGAACCACTGATCTAGCTAGTGACAGAAGAGTAAAATAAACACCAAGGAAAGTTAGAAATGCATTTATTTGTGGGCCGGTTCGGTCAAATACTTAGCCAACATGTCTCCTTGGAGTGACTAGGCTAAAGGCTAGACGATCTGAGAACCGGGGTTGGTTTTCCGAGGGGAGGAGAAGAGATAGCTAAACCAGTTCAAGGGCCTGCCCAGTCTCCCATCCCTCAGATACCGCTACCTATTTCTCCGGAGATAAGGCGGCCGGAGCGTAATGGTGACCACTCATCTCCATCTATTGCAGAAGTCAAGAACGTCTAGGGCTATAAATCCGCTCTCTCATGTCATCATTGCGCGGTGCTTAATTAATTACGGCCAGGAAAATATTTACATTTGACTTTACTATAAGAAGCACTTACCTGCCACCTGGGTGTATGACGGTTCTGCCCAGCAAGTGTTCATCTCGTAACCAGTTGGTTACTTGCACCAGCCCGCGTACGAAACTTGGGATGTTGCATCTGAGTACAGCTACGTTCCCCGCCATAACGAACACGTTGTGAACCTGCAGCTGATACTGTTGCGTCACATCTGTAAATGCATGAAAAGCGTTTAGTTACGCCAGAAATTCTGGCAATTTACGTTTAAAACTCCCGTTCATACCTCACAGAAAACTGCGTCTCCGTTAACTGATTAAATATGTTTAGGAGATGAAGAAAGCAGTCTGCTTTTACCGTTCTCACGGTCTTGTCGCTTGCAGATTTCTTATACTTTTTCTTCTACCCTGAAGATGGAGGCGATACGTTCCTCCGAAACGTCGGTTAACACCACTTATACACGGTGCCAAATCCCAGAAGACTTCTTTCTTCATAGTCACCGCCGTGAAAGCCTCAAATCTTACATGTTTAGGAGATGATCGACAATCAAAAGAAACGCATAAATAGATTATGTACGAAAAATTCAGAGCCTTTCACTCTTTGATATAAGCAGTGCGTGTGATATATTGTGATCTTCAAAACACCGATCTTAATATTTTGACGAATTTGCATATTTTGAGTCTCCCCTCCTGAAATGAGAAAAGTGGTTTCTGGAATGCCGCCTGTTTCTCTACATATGTATGTATGTATATGCGTGTGTATACTATGTGTGTGCCGGTCACGGTAGCCGAGCGGTCTAAGGCATGCACTGTTTTCGCTCGCTCGGAAACCGAGATCGTGGGTTCGAATCCCTCTCAGGGCATGGATGTTTGTGTGCGTTTTTCTGTTTGTCTACAGGTAGAGGTCTTGCGACGAGCTGATCACTCGCCCAAGGAGTCTTACCGTATGTGTAAGATCTAGTAAAGCGAAGTGAAACGGAAAGTTTCATGGAGGTAGGCCTAGGCCCAAATTGGGGCTATAGCGCCACAGGAAAAAAATACTGTGTGTGTATGTAAGTATGTATGCAGCTACAGCTGTTTAGGCTTTAGTGACACAATATTGGGACGCTGGTAATATAAGTTCATTCTTTCCATTTAGGACAAACATTATTTTAAGGAGAGCGAATAATTTTAGAGATGTGTTTAAAATCTCTGTTGAATGGTGCTATCGCTAGCTCAGAGAAAGTTGTGTGCTTTGCCCGTCTGGCGATGTTGGCAGTAAGGACTCAAGGCTCTGGTGTCGAGAGGGCCAGCGATAACATTATTCTGACAACGAATTTTGCAGACTCTATGTAAAAACTTATGGATGATACTGGTGACACATAAGGCAGAAGAAAAAACACACGAAAGAATTATATTTAAGCATAAGGCGTCGTTCTTTCAGTTTCTGGGTCCTCTTTCATGATTCCTGGCCATACCCGTTTGCCTTCCGTTGTCTGTGTCATTATTTCTTTCCAGAGAATAAATTCTGACATAAAGTTGCAACGAAATTAATCCTAATGCAGTTTAAAATTTCAGAACAATTATTCGGAACTGCGCATGAGCGTAGTGTATCTTGGAGTAATTTGAGTTTAAAATGGCTATAAGTGCGCATCCTGTTGTTAAGGACATAAAGGGCTTTGTGAAAATTCACAGGTTGAGCTTGTATGAATTACTAATAAACAACATGAAGGGGAGTTAGTTTTGTATGTTGAACCTCAATAATAACTCAGGCGTGTAAACACGATTTCGCTAAGCTGATTAAGCAACATGTATAATGCAGAGAGGGAAGAGAGACGAACCTGAGAACTTGGTCATGTACTTCAGCAGCCAGTGAGGTATGACAGGAAGGGTTCAAGTCCTTCAAACACGTGCCCCTTTCAAATTCAAGCAGCAGGGAGACAACTTATCGTACTCTTCATTATTATTCTATCTCTCTCTCTCTCTCTCTCTCGTTTTCTGATTTTAGTTTCTCTCTCCCGGCTTCTAGTCCATTAACTTCCAATTACTCTTCTTCTTTCCTTTCTACTCCATCTCCTTCTGCTCTTCCCCCTTCTCCTCCTCAATTTCCTACTCCTGCATCTGTTCCTCCTCGTACTCCTCTTATCCATTTCCTCTCTCCTCCTCCTCTACCTATTCCAGCTCCTCATACTACCCCTTCTCCTCTCCCATCGTCTATTTAAATGTTCTCATTCGCATAATAGACTGTCCAGTGTCTGCCTGTAGTACACTTTTCACAGGACATATCACTTCACCTAACATCGATACATGTTTCTTTCAACGTGGAGACAATTTTTTTGCAAACTATCTGCGTTTCTTACTTAAGTTGCCTGACTGATTTTTGGTAAATTATTAAGAAAAAACGTGATACTGGATGATCCCCAGACTCATATTTTTAGAAAACTTCCGCTGAATGCTATTAACATGGCGAGCATAAAGGCTTTTGAGATGGGGGCAGAATCAGAATCGTAATTTATTTTTGTAACGGAATGTTTCTTAAAATAATGCACATTTATTTTGTATTACACTTGCCTAAAACCACGAAAATTTGAGCAAGGACGTAAGAGCATGAAGAGAGTTTCGATCCAGAGCTTAGAAGTAAACAGTTTTAGTAATCGTGGAGGGGTCTGTTTAGTAAGAGGAGGTTTCCGTTTGGTTAACTGTTACTCCAACTTTCTGAGTAGAAGCAAACAAGCACAACATCGGAAGGTAACATTTCAACGTCAGAAGGAAACCGCATCTAATGCCGAGGTCAAGAAGGGTGGAGCTACATAGTTCCACTTTTCAACACATCTTCATGGCATGATGCTTAAGATATTAATATATTAATCCGAGGAAAATATGAGTATACAACTGTATTTAATCGATTAAAAATGAGATGTTAATGGACAAATTTTTATCTTCAACATAAGCGTGTTTATTTTTTTTTTTTAGAAATTTTGAAGTTAATTAATTCTTGATATTGTATAGTTTGATTATATTCTATCATAAAATGTAGATGATCGTCTAGTTAAAAAATGAAATTAACATTTGAACTTAGACAAACATTACGCCCATCAGACACTTTATCGAAAATAAATTAACAAACCAATTAACAGGCTCAATATAGCTTGTTACTCAATCCTGCGTATTCTCTATCAGTCTCACTTTATGAGCATTACGCAGGTATAAAGAGTCCATCCATTCATTGTCCTCGAATGGTAACTGAAAATTCACTTCATTAATTTATGTTTCACATATTTTGGCTCTGGGGCTGTTCCAGCAAATCCAACATCGCCATTATACAGCGTGCCCAGTCCAAAATACTCCGATCCATCACGAACGCACCGTGGTATGTATCCAACCACACCCTACATACAGATCTAAAAACTCCTTACGTATCAGAAGTCATTCGAGAAAACAGCACCAAGTACTTCAACAAACTAGAAAATCACTCCAACCCACTTCTTCAACCACTACTACAACCTCAAGAAAATCGAAGACTCAAAAGAAGTTGGCCATCAGATCTAACGAACTGAGGAAAACATCACTGGATGTTTATTCCGCACACGCCAGAAGAGTGTTAAATAAATAGTTATTAAATTGTACACCAATCAGCTCATTGACTTATAGATTGTACAATATGATTGTCAATAAAGGAGACAGAGAGAGAGAGAAAAAAACATATTTTAGTGTAGGCTGTTTTCCTGTAATCAGACTAATGTGAATTACTAAAATCCGAAGAATGTTATTTTGCTACTGGCCGTTTCTGGTTCTCTGAGGTATAAAGACAAATTGTCTGAACATCGCTGTACTGGACCCACTACATCGCATTGTTATTGGGCATGGTGCGTGCTGAACACACACTTGGAACACAATGGCTTGCTCTGCCGTCACCGAGTTGAGTCTTTAAGGAAGCGGTTTATGTTAAGAGTGTTACAGCAAGTTCTCTATGAGGGAATCCAATTGAAAGACCGCAATTTGAGTCCATAACAAAGAGTTACCAGCAAATCCTGTTAAATCGAGATGAATTCCTACTTCAAATCTTTAATGCTGGGGGAAATAATTTCACCATGTATGTTCTCTTAGCATGTACAGTACGATGTTGGAGATGATGATATGAATTCTGAAAGCGATTTCCTTTTTATTTTAAAAATATAATTAGTGAAAAAGAACCAAATATTCTCGTTCATTTTTCAATACATTCTCCCCTTGCCTTAGATACACAAATTCTACGCGTGTACCCAACTTTAGAAGATATATGATAACTCTTTCTAATTAAACAACGTCTTTTCAACTGCAGAGGTTATATGCAGCCGATAGTTTATAAGTGACGTAGAGGAAGCGATCGTTAACAATTTGATATACCAGATACATGTCCACAGAGAACTAGGAAAACCTACGGAAATGTTTTGTTACGATAATCTGTGTTCGAGCTGAATATCTTCCGAATGAAATCCTAGACGTTTGTCTCTATACTAATCTAATCAGCAATAACCACTGAAATAATTTGCAATTTAATTGTACATGTTAATAAAACGAATTGTAATTTAAGGATTTAGTGATATCAGAAATAGTAAACTGGTTAAATTTTACACTTTTAAAGACATAAAAGAAATCTGCAAAGAACGTTAACATATTGGGAAACTGTACACGTGTAACAGCTCATTCAGTGGGTGTCGCGTTTGGAACAGAGACACAGATTTACCCACTTAACATCATATGGAGGCCGCGCCACAGCTCAAGCGGTTAGTCGCTGGCTTCCCACCGCGGTGGCCCGTGTTCGATCCCGGGTCTTGTCAAGTGGGATTTGGGGTGGACAAAGTGGCGCTGGGGCAGGTTTTCTCCGAGTACGTCGGTTTCCCCTGCCAATCTTCATTCCACCAATTGCTTCACAATCACCCTCACCTATCATCTGGGGCTGGTACAATAGGCCAGAAGTGGCCGCAGTACAAGGGACTTAGTCCCACTAGCAATAAAAAACATCATACGGAGGTCATTATCTCAGAAAAATAAGTCTTGTAAAGAGAAGCCGCCCTCCTTCCTGCCGAAGTCTTACTATTTTCTTATCTTTCTCTTCTAGCCTGAAGATGGAACCAGTACGTTCTGCCGAAACGTCACAGATTTTCCAACGGATTACATGGCATTACACCCCAGAAGATAGCGCTCATTATTTACATCAGCAGTTACATCACCTACGAAGTTTGCATGACGTCCA